TATATACGTAAAAAGTTGTTGCTCTGGCAAGTCGGTGTTTCCATCAACTCGCATGATTTCGTCATCGCAATATGTATTTGATCAGTAAAGATCATTTACCTCTTGGTAACATTGAACCGAATTTGTTCGTTTTTGTTTAGTCAGTGCTTTGCGCATGATTTATTGCTATTGCTACCAACGTTTAAAATAACGTCAATCTGTATTGCTGTCCTATAAATTTCATTATATATATTTTCCCGTGACTTTTGTTGAACTTGGTACTAACTTCGTATAAGAAAGAAACATGGATTCTTTACAAAAAGATCCATATTTTCTCTGTGAGAATGAAAACAATAATGATACAAAATAAATCCAATATATATCGTAATGATAAATCACCATCTTCTGAATTTTCTCCATAGCTGAACATCTTCATTGGAAACTCTTCGATATAATATATATAAAGGAAAAAATAGATGATTGCCTTTGGTATGCTTTATTCAGTCTACAAAGTCGCAAAGAAAATTTCCAGAGAGAAAGCTATAACGCAAAAAAATCTGAGCCCGCTCATCGTAAACTATGGTCGATAGAGATGTTTTATTTTACTCATCTTTAACTGATTATTATTTGATCCACAATAAGACGTGACCATATCTAATCGATGAGATTTAGAGTGATCCAAGAAATTTTTTAGTCACGAAATATATTTCGATGGAAAATACTGCAATACAGTTAAAATATATACGTCAATGAATTCAGCTGCCAGTGCAACAATATTTGTTTAACTCTAATTAAATAAATGATAGCTTTTCTACAATTCAATAATTGCTATTCGTTCTTTTTTTTATTATTTGTAGTGTGAGTTTATGCTTTTATGGGTTTACATGATTTGCTACGTAAGCGCAGGAAAAAAACCGAGAATGAGAGAAACACATGTGTCTGACTCAATTGTATTTATCGGTGTAGTCCATTTTTACTTTTTCCGAGACGAAGCGAACGAAGAACTTTGCAAAAGAGAAAAAACCAATAGTTAAATATATAGTGAGAGAGAGAACAAGAGACAAACTTCATAGAAATGCTCACACTAAAATTAAATATACACCTGTACAAAGATCAAATCAGATTTTCAAATTTAGGCGACAACTCCTATAAATGTATTTGCTTTCGAGAACATATATACGAATGGGTTACTTCACATACACATATAGGTTTTCGTCGTTGTCTGGTAGACAAGTTTGAAGAAATAAGATTACTGTTATAGAATAGAAACAAATAAAGATTGTGCCGATGTGAAAATATGGCTACAAAGAAGAAGAGGCAGAGAGGAAACAGCAAACGTGCAACAATAAATCTAATATCATACAAATTTGACAAAGGCATGATATAATCTTAATAATGTTTCGATATGAATAGGTAAACAACTAGCACGTTCATTTGTTTTTGCATCGATTAGTAGCCATGATAAACGATTATAGGATTCCAAGACGTATCTAAATAGAAAAAAAAATATTAAGAATCTTCCGAATCAAAAGCTTTATCTGAGTACAACATAGGTAAAATTTGAATCTAGTGGATGCGTTAATTTTTTATCGTTACTTTGAGCAAATAGCATATCATCTGAATGTTGAGCATTCGATACACTAACATGCAACGCTGCTTTAAATACACTACATCCATTATTCGCTCGTTGATTTAGTTTTCCATGTAACATCCATAATGGTAACATAAAGTCAAGTGTTAAAGGTTGTTGATGTAATGATGGATGATTACTATGATAATCATTATGAGCATTCGAAGAACTAACCACTCGATTATGTTGTCCACTTGCTAAAGCATGTGTATTATCATGATGATTTATATGTGCATAATTTCAAGAAAATTCCAAGTCAACTGGTCTTGGTGAACCTTCAGGAGCAAGACCTTCAAATAATTTACTAAATAAATCATTTTCATTATTAATACATCAGAATGACGATTTCAATGTGTCTTAAATAAATATTAGCCGCATTACTTATTTAGTTGTGAAAGCGGAAATGTATTCTTTAAGGTTTCTAGCAGTACATAAAACCTGAGCACACTTCAACCCACACTCTCAAGATATTTTAATATAAAAATCGAATGAAGAAATGTTAAAAGTGTCAAAATCGACGATACTCCTTGTCGTTGACTTTGGATACACCAAACATCCATTGTTTTGAAGGCGATGTCCAAGCGTGAAAGTGATAGTTGAAAACAGTCCGTTCACCCGCCCGTATTTCGATACGTTCAATGAACCAGTCATTAGTACTTGCACGTCCATTTTTTCCAACTGGTGGCACATGAGCCAAAGCAAACATACTCAGCTCGCGTTTATCATTCGAAAATCCTTCTGGACAACAGACAGAGTACTTATCAATACTATTTCGCTCACGATCATTCCCCCAGTTGTCCAAGTTATGGACTCGACAAATGAGACCGTTCGCACTACGAAGAAGAAGGTTGATAGCATCATCCGTGCCAGCTAACCATTCGTTTCCTGTTTGAATCTTCAGTTTCAACGTTTCCGTATTATCTGTGCAAAAATTGCTAGATTCTGTGTCACCGGTTATTTGAGTAATTATTATGGAAATTATGTTTAATTGAAACACCAGTAATAGGCCAATGCGTATCATTTTCTGCTTCCTATATCAAAAAAAGATTTTGTTTTACATAGTATGTTGACAGTATATTGATGCTGAAATGTATTAAAAAGTAGGGTTAGCACTAGTGAGGATCTCCACGTTCGCTTATATTCATCATATATCGTTTTCTAGACAACCGCTATACCTCGAAGAATATAACTTATTCATTATTACGATATGCTGACCCTATCCACGAGAATTAACACATTAATTTGACCGAAAATGCATGTTAATTACCAAGAATTTTTACCGCGATCGGATGCGAAAGTGCCATACAATCAAATCAAATAGTTATGCGTTCTGTTCTGATGAAAAAATGCAGGCAGTGTACTGTAAAAGGCAATAAAAAAGTATACGTTCTAGTCCACTTTCCATTTTTTACTCTAGTGGTTTCAATGAGAAGAATGTCATGACGGAAGAAGACACAGATGTAGCATGCATGAACAAGAGAGAGAATTAAACAGACTTACTATTTTTCTCGAATTGATACCAAAATGAAAAATAAATATCGCAAGTTGAGTTGTTTTATGTTGACGCTATTGAATAGATGATTGCTAGATGAATAATAGAATTTTCTAGAAGTTGTACATTCATCGACATCAATTAAGAAAGCTATTATATATTTATCTATAGCCTGAACAAATATCTGAAGAGTGAGAATAGTATTTGTAATTAGTTTTGATCACAATTATTTATCTCTAACGATCGATATGTGCCGCGAGCTCACAGCTAGTGAAAAGAGTGAATAAATAAATGAAATAAAAACATTCTGCTGAATCACAAACAAGTTCGTTTGTTGATGATTCTTCTGCAAAAGAAAGAAAAAGAAATAGTCCATTGATAAGCGTTTTTCATGTTTTGGAAAAAACTACCTTCAGATTCAGAAAGTGATGAAGACGCAGTCGTAACGCTCATGATTAAAAATGTGACTACGGAGATTGTTGGTTGTGTAACGTTGAATAGTTGACGCTGAACATCAGTTTCATTAGATACATCGTTAAGAATCTGTATCTGTGTTGACAACTGTTTTTTTCTTGTCAACCAACTATGTAAAAAAATCATCACTGGGATAATTTCATCATAACGCATAAAAATAAACGCTGCTGTAGTTCATTGTTGACTAATAACAGTTTTCGAACAAATTCTGGTGTCATTGAACATCTTACTTCACCACAAAGAACTTTAGCAACATGACCTAAATTTTGTGATTCCATCCAATTAGCTTCATGTAATTTCGGTCCAATTAAAAAGTTCAAATCAGTTATCTTATCATCTTCGCTTATTAGTGTTGCTGTATTGTTCAGCTGGTATTGCATGAACTTCGTCAAGAGTATACACATGCATCACTTAATTTTTCTTTTCTGCCTGAAATAAATAAATTCACATTGGAGTCATTAGCCATGGACCATGTTGTTTCCATTGTTCAACAGAAATCTTCGAATTACAAAGTACACGACAAGGTTTATTTATTGTAAAAGCAGCTGTAACGCCAACTAAAGATTTTCCATTTCCACATTGAGGAACAATCAAGCCAGATCGTGCACGTCCATTATAGAACATATTTCTCAAGCTTTGCTCTTGATGCGATCGTAAAAATGCATTAGGTCGAAGTTTTCATGTAAACGTCGAATATCGTCCATTACTTGTTCATTTGAAGTTCTCATTTCTTTGGACGCAACTTCTCTATGAATGTTTACATGAGATTGCTCTGATGTTATGACTCGACATTGTTGAATTTTTTGATTCCGAAGAAGTTCTTTTAAAACTTCAGGAAAAACGCTTGCAGTAAAATATTGATTATGTTTCAATACAAGTTTCACTTTTCCATATCGAAATCTTGCACGTGACTATGAAGTAAAGAAAATGCCTCAAGAAATATGTGACCATCTCGTGTAACCCATAGAGGGCGATTTGTATCACCGCTTATCAATTTCAATGCTGTACGGAGATCTTTGCAAGTTTCCCGTGTTACGTCTGAAGCACTCGGCTGATACAACTATTCTGTTCTACGACTTTACTTGTCTTCCACACAAATTAGTCGATGTGTTATTTTTGTATGCAAACTTTGACAAACATTTTTTCTTTCCTATCGATAAGGCACGACTCGAATGCTGTCTTTACACATACTATACAAATGAATACAGAATGCAAAAGTGAAAGGTATAAGAACGACAAAAGTATAACGTCCTGCATAGTTCCTATGAAAGTTGCCCGTTACTACCTTCCAATAGATGCCTGCAAACGATCCTTTTGATGCAATCGATGTCGATATAGAACGATCGACAAGCGGAGTATGGCTTGTAAAAGTGCCCAAGTACTTGTCACAAATTATTAACGATTATTCAGAGGCAAGTAATAATGCAGAAGTTGGTCGTATAGTTAAACGTGCCTCAACCAGTGGACGAGCACAAGATGTTTTCTTTCGGCTTAATGATCAAGTCATGCAAAAAATTAAAGAAAAAAAATCCAAAGATGATCCACTGCCACCACAAGAACATCGATTTTGTTTAAGCAATATATCCGACGGTGTTCTTCGTACCGTTTCTACTCGTACGACTAATCCAAAGTTACCGCTCAAAGAACAAATATCTATAATCGGTAAGGTAATAAAACGAGCTGAAGTTCGTCCAGTTGAGACTGAACAGTATATGTCGATGAAACGCAAACATTTCGAAGTATCACAAGAACCAACAAGTAAAACAATAAAGATCGAGAAGAAGAAATCTGCTTTTGCACCTAAAAGGGATCATGAAGAAAATAAAAAACGTAAACAAGAGAAAAAATTAAAGGGAACACGTGTTCGAAGTCCAGAAGACACAGTACTCAATTTCATGTTTGAAGCGTTTTCAAAAAATCAATATATTTCAATGTCAGCACTTGAAAATATCACTCAACAACCGAAAGTGTATTTACAACAACTTGTTAAAAGATATTGTAATTACAATAATACGGGGCGTAATTATGAATTAAAACCACAATTTCGACATTATAGTGCACCAAAAGAAGAAAAAAATGGCGACGATATTGAAGATGATGATGATGATGATGACGACGACGACGATGATGGCGATAGTACTACTAATAAATGAATAATTAAGATCAATAACATGTGTGACATAAATTGCATGTTTTGGGTCATAGAAATGTTTTCATCTTGTTCCTTTGATATTGTAACGATATATATTTTTACGATTCTTCAAAGTCTTCTGTTTTTTTTTAAATATAATATTAGAATCAATGAATTATATAAAAAGTGATTTTAGATAAGAGAGCATGACAAACGGTCTCTACTGCACATGGTTAAGATTAGCCGTTTTCTTTTCGTTCTTCAACAAAAGAAAAGGTTACTTCGTGTGAGACACGTCATACGTAATCACACAACCAAATTTGTGTTGTATTGTATCATCATAACACGCGGTCGCGCTCTTCAGCTAGAAATATAAGATATCGTTGATGCAATACTTCTTTTTTAATGAGTTATGCTAATTTTCGATGTACTATCTTGAGGGTGTGGGTGTTGGTTAATAACTTCATACCTAAATATCATCGACATCCACGAGGAGTGTCCAAGGACTGAGGATTAATAATTCCTCATCAGTTCCCCTACAGTTCCTTGCATACTAAAGGTAAAAATATACAATATTCACGATAATTTTTGTTCTTACACTCATTTTCACTTGCAAAAGTGTGAGATTCAATAATTTCATGCAAAAATTATTTTTAAAACAGCAATGTTGCGGCTTTCGTGAATCGTGGAACTATGAGGGAACCGATACTTGATTCCCATTTCTTCTTGGAATTATCACAACAACACTGACAATTCCTCGACACTTTAGGAGTTCCTATTTCTCACTCCTCGGACACTGCTGGCTTAAAGATGTCGTTCATATATTTTTTAGTTTACCTGGTAGGAAAATGATCACTATGTTTGTTTTGAAATTTAGAAGCGTTTCAAAAAGCATGTGCAGAAGCCATGAGTTCTACTCGAGACTTTACGGCATTGATTTAAAAAATAACTCTAATGTTTGTACATCTATTTTTATTTATTTTATATCAATAAATACTTTATATTCTAATTCGTCTAATCATTAATTTGTTTATACTTATTCTAATATAAAAAAGAAAAAAAAACTTTCAAGAATAGAAAAATTAATAATTGATTTGAATTAAATTTTCATCAATGTTTAATGGTAAAACTGTAACGGGAAAATCTGATTTTTGAATTTTATCCATTTTTCTACTAAGATCATCAACAGTTGATTTTATCAAGTTTATTTCTTGCGGATTTCCGTCTTCACTTTTAATAAATTCTTCAATTCGTTTTTGTATATGGCCAATATTTTTGCGTTGTTGACTAAAATTCATATCAATATATTCGTAAAATTCTTCAGATTTTCTATCACATAAACTATCAATAATTGTGTAACAATTAATACGCCATTTTTTAAGATGTTCGCGAAAATTTGACATTGATTCTCGTACATTCACTGTTTGTAATCGACGATTGACTTCGTGAATATCTTTTTTTAATAGTTTCAATTGAGCAATAAGTAAATCTTCATGTTTCCATAAGTGCTGATAGCATAGTTCTTGTTTACAACATTTACATGATGATCGTGGTCTACGACTACATTGATCAATAGCACATTTTTCGAATTGTGATTGACAATTTGAAAAATCCATATATATCTTTACGTAAGAAGTGATTGAAATAAGAAAAAGAATGAATTTATTTTGTATGAAGTATATATAGTTTTTTAAATCAAGGATGATAGAAAAATAAATAAAAATTTTACAAGAAGAATTGATCTTTGGAATTGTTATTTTTTACTTACTGTTTCTTTTCTCTTCTCTCTTACAATCAATATTGAAGACGCATTTTTTTCTCTTTACAATGAACTTCATCATGTGTCTGTCTCGTAATACTTATATAAATTCAAATCAAATCGTACTTTAATTAATTCAAAAAAGAAAAAGGATTCATACATTCATTCTAGAGTGCGAGAGTGACGATAAAAAGGAATTGTTAGATATTGAACTAATAAAAATAGAATACAGCTCATCAGAGAATCTAGAAAATTCTTCAAGGATGATTTGTTCTGTTGTTCATTTTACGCTCATAAATAACAATAAGTTCTTTGTAAGAAAAGATTTTTAAAGTAAAAAAAACACGTTTCTTTTTTATTTCAAAAGCAATTCACAAAAATATATTTTAACAATGAACCAATAATTTTCTTTGTTGTCTTTCATAGTATTCTTTATCAAATAAACTTATAATTGAACTTAGGATATCAATATCGATTTCTTCTAAATACCAACGTTGTTCTTTAGATAAAACCATATCCCAATGACCATGATACAGAAGCATAGAATTAATAAACAAACGTTCATCATGCGTCATTATACGCGCTGATTTCGTTTCTGTTGGTATCCATGTTCGATAATGCGTTTCATCTTTGTCAATACGAATATACGGTATTTCATTATTAATAAAGCCACATTTTCTTGTATAGTCACCAATAACAAATTGTCGGCCGAATTGGTTTTTATAATTTGTGGATAAATAATCAAGTGAAGATTTTTCAAATAATTGTACAAAACATATTCCTTTCGACTTAAGAAATGTATCTAATGAAAGAAATTTTAATTGAAAATCTTGTGTTTTACGATTGGGCAATCGTTTGGACATATAAACACTACCATGAATGGAATTCCAAAAGAAGTTTTCTCGTGTTTGTTCACTTATTATATTATATGCATGAACTACAGGTGAATCTAAAGGAAAACAACGGATACATGATGATGGTAAAAGTAAATATTGATGATAACGAGTATGAATATCATTTAAATTTAAATAGATTTTTTTTTCATTTAAACATTTAACATATGGAAAAATAAATGAATCGATTTGAACGAAACCACCAGATTCTTCAACAATCGATAGATCAAGCTAAACATAGAAGAAAATATTTATGTAAACACGATTTGAATTAAATTCTTAACAAAACGTACACGTCTTTCAAAAAGTAATCGTCGTTGTGCAATGTTTGTCGACGAAACACAGATTGGATTGGAATCATGATTTGATTGCTGATTTTGTCTAGAAGAAAAATTTATTGATAATTTTACTTTCAAGGAAACATCCTTATGTCCGATTCGATTAACTCTTATTCTCGTATAAGCCAAAATAAGACAGTTACATATGAATATTTCATATATTTGAAATCTACAGTTTTTTCGTACATTCTCAAATAATTATAAATAGATATCGTAGTACTGAAAAATAAATTTTTTACTTTTCTACTTGATTTAGAACTAATTTTTCTTCAATTGTCCATCTTGATTTAACTTCTTGTCTCATCGTATCAAGAATTTGATCCCATTTTTGTGTATTTATATCATTTGTTTGAAATAATGATGTTGAACAGTCAAGTATACCAAGAAGACAATCAAGTAAAGCAACACTTAATAATCTATTCGACCATTCCGAATGATTTTCAGGTATCATATCAATTGTTGACGATAATGAACTCGTAAGTCGATCATAATAGACAATTTCAATCGATGTCATTTCAAGAATTGGTAGATTTTTTACCATATTTAATATGGGTGTTCTACCATGCAATTGATGTTGATCAAGTGCATTCAGTGCATAGGAAAATCGAATATATGGCACATAATGATTATTTGATAAACTTTAAAAATAAAAGAATAAATATTAATGTCTAGTGATTTTAGTCTATTACGAACCGAAATACTATCGGAATACGATATTGATAAAAGCTAAGAAGACCATAATGTTTCCTATGTGAAGGTAAATCAATTGGACGTAATGGTGATGAGTGTATTTCTTGAGACCGAGTTGATCGTGTTAATAAAATATCATTTAATTCATTATCAAAATTACATTCAACATTATTATCAGAACAAAAAAAATGACCTTCACTTTCAATGTATTCAAATGAATCATTTATAAAGTTAAATATATCCATGCTAGTCAATACTAGATTTTTTTTAACTGTAAATTATTTAACAGATAAATCATACACGAATGACATATATAGATTCATAATCAGTAGACGAAGAAAAGAGAAAAGAGACAAAGGCACATGGTTCACAAAGAAGAAAAAGAGAAATACAAAGAACGTAAATGAATATTTACTACTTGAAGCGATCACATTTTTAGTGTTCAAAATAGTATTGTTTAGTCTATTCTAGAATTTAAAAACTTTTTTTTAAATAGAATTTTTCATTCTTAACATGACGAACATGTAATACTATTGTAAAGCCTAAATAATATTTCATTTAAGTAATACATTGAAATCGAGACTTTGTACTTTTTTAACACTGCATCGATTACATAACGTATGACGCTTACGTATTATAACGTCTCTTCTGGTATGGGTCTATTTATATATTTTTAGTTGATTCTTTTTGCATAAATAACCTTGTTAGATTTTCTGTTTTTCACTTGTACTCAAGATGTTTATCGCATTTCTATCACTATCAACTTCTGCTCTTATCGGTGTATTTATGAGCTACCTTTTGGATTTCACTTACTCAATGAACCATTATGTTTATATCGAACAAATGATGGCGAAGTAGTATGTATCCTAGATATATGTCCACATCGGTCAGCTCCACTTAGTTTAGATCAAATGACAAAAGAAGGGAATCTCGAATGTATCTATCATGGTTGACAATTTGGTGCCAATGGTCAATGTGTTCGTATTCCATCGGTATCAAAAAAATCAAATGCAGCTTCATTAATATGTGCCCGAACATTACCAGTACATGAGCAGGAAAACGTGAATTAGCTGATAGCAATTTAATTCCACATGGTCTTTTCTCGGAAGTACAAAATGCAAATGAGGAATTTTTATTATCACCAGAAGATTCATGTTATCTTGATATTCCTTATGATTTAATGGTTGATAATTTAGCTAATATATAGATTTTACACATGATGGAACTATTGGCAAACCTTCACAAGCATCCTGTATTCGATCTGAACGAATCGTACCTTCACCTTTTTTCTCGGTCAATAGTGAATCAGCTTCATTTAAGTTAACGCGACATGAACAAACTTCACAACTGAACTTAGTTACATTCATTTTATTCCACCGTTCTTCAGTCGCTTAGAACATCATAGGTGTAAAAAGGGACAATTATTCGTTCAAATCTTTTTTTATGATGGCCAATGGTGAGAAAAAAATGCGTCTCATAATAATTGGAAAATCTATATAAAACAAGGAGCATGAAAGACAAGAACAAAATCGTCCGAGGGTGGAGCACAAGATATTGATATTGAAGATTTGGCAAAATGGAATAACATTATTTTACTTTTATTCAACAAAAGGAAATTGATTGTTACAGATTTATTTAATAAATATTATAGATTTTTTTTAGATTCTAAAGTATGCTAGTTGAACATTAAAGAGCATCGATGCAACATTTGATATTGTATCAATCAGAAATCCTATAGTTAAGATTTTTCCGAAGCAGGTAACCGATCATTAATGATCTTTACTAAAGAATAATATAGCTCATTTTCTTTAGAAATCGCTCTTTTTCAAACTTAATTCAAGTTAAAGAATGCGTCAAATATTTTCAAACGACGATGTAGACGGTTCTGCCTCGATTTACAAAAACAAATGAGAGAAAAGAAAATGTGACCGGAATTGCTAGCTAATGTATAGAGAAGTCAAGCACTTCAACGAAGCAGAAAAAAACCAAGAACGACCATAGCACAAAAAAGAAACAAGTAAATAGAAATGATTGTTAAAAAAATGTCGATATTTCATATAAATTCAACTCTTTCGATTTCAGTTGCTTTTCAATTAAATAAACTCACCGTTCATCATGGATACAAAAGAAAAATCTTCAACGAATGCTGATCATACGAGCGTAGAGCAACAACACTCTTCTCATGGCCGTATAGTGCAGAATTTCTTGCTAGTCTGGCTCGATAGTAGCATCGATCCAGACGGAAATGAAGATTGCAAACATATTATCTCAAAACTAAAAGAAATTATTTACAAATTCGATGCATTTACGGATGTTGATACGTGTCTTAATTATATCGGAAAAGTTATACACGAAAAAATATTTTTTATCACGTCGGGTGCATTTGCACAAACCATAGTTCCACGCGTACATGGTATGTCTCAAATCAATACAATTTATATATTTTGTGGGAACAAAACACGACATGAAGAATGGATTAAACAGTGGCCTAAAGTAAAAGGCGTCTTTACACGCACTGCTCGACTCTGTGAAACCCTTCAACAAGCTGTACAACAATGTGATCAAGATGCGACGCCAATCAGCATGTTTGAAACAAATGATGTTAATAGGAAATTAAATCTCAATGAACTTGACTCTTCGTTCATGTACACCCAAATAATGAAAGAAATTTTATTAACTATTCCTTTCGAACAACGTCACGCAAATGAATTTCTTAACTATTGTCGAGAAATTTTTGCGAATAATCCGGAAGAACTTAAGTTCGTCGAACAGCTGGAAGAAAAATACCAAAAGGAGTTCCCGATTTTTTGGTATACCTGTAACTGTTTTTTGTATGGGATGCTCAACCGATCATTACGGACGATGGAAATCGACCTTATCATAAGAATGGGATTTTTTATCCGCGATCTTCATGGCGCCATTTTTAAGCTTCATAGAAAACAATATGTTGAACAAGCAAATATGACATCGTTTACTACCTTTCGTGGTCAAGGCCTTTCAAAGACTGACTTCGATAAAATGTTCAAGACACAGGGTGGACTTCTGTCATTTAATAACTTTTTATCAACTAGTAAAAACCGTGAAATATCGCTTGAATTTGCTCAGTCAGCTATAGAAACACCCGATGTGATTGGAATTTTATTTTCCATGAAAATCGATCCATCTATTCCGTCAACACCATTTGCTAATATATCTACTGTAAGTTACTACAAGAAAGAAGCCGAAATTTTGTTCTCCATGCATTCAATTTTTCGAATTGGAGCGATCGATAAAATTAACGGAAATAGTCGTCTTTGGCAAGTCGACTTAACACTCACCAGTGATAACGATCCAGATCTCCAATCACTTACTGAACACATACGAAAAGAGACCTATCCTCAGCTCGAGGGATGGGATCGTTTGGGTAAATTGCTGATTAAACTGGGAAAATTCGACAAAGCCGAAGATGTATACGATATCTTACTTCTTCAGACAAAGTCAGATCGAGAAAAATCACATCTTTATCATATGTTTGGGATAGTGAAAGATGGACAAGGTCAATATGCAAATGTAATTGCCTACTATGAACGAGCTATTGAAATCAACGAGAAGATTCTTTCGCCACAGGATGTTGATTTGGCTGCTTCTTATGGTTGCATCGGTTTGGCATATAATAAGATAGATGATTATTCGAATGCACTTTTATTTCATCAAAAAGCACTGAAAATCTATCAACAATCTCCTCCTGCAAATCGTTCTCACGTTGCTGTTTCTTTCAATAACATTGGTTCTGTGTATAATAGCATGGGTGACTATTCGAACGCATTGTTATATTATCAAAAGGCAGTGACGATTAAAGAAGACATCCTTCCTTCACATCATCCAAGTTTGGCTACTTCTTACAACAATATTGGGTTGGTGTACTCTGCAATGGGCGACTATTCTGCAGCACTCTCATCACACCGAAAAGCGTTAGAAATACAAGAAAAAAGTCTTCCACCAGATCATTCTGATTTCGCTCCTACCTATGGACATATGGGAATGGTGTATTCTAAGATTGAAGAATATCCAAAAGCTGTTTCATATTGTGAAAGAGCTCTTGAAATACTAACAAACTCACTATCTGAGAATCATCCACGTATTCAATTATATAAAAACAATCTCGAATCCGTGAAAAAAAAAGTGTAATTGATTAATATACTATACTCAACGAAATAAATATCTAATCAAAAGAAAAGACTATTGTTATTTTTCACAGAAAAAAGGTTCTCATGTCGTTGATTTACTTACTACGTAATTCAATTTTACATAATTAAGAATGCCGTAAAAAAAGTTAGAGGACACTACAAATGTGATGGTACTGGAATCTTAAATACGAGAAACTAATTTGTGGATTCATTATCATCATATTATTTTCTTTTACTAACACTAACAAATGTTCATCTCATGATAGATTTCAAATTAAACAATGAGAAAAATCGATATAACACATATCATGTTATGTCCGATGCGTGCAAATGAGTTTACCCTTGCTATTTTGAACAATCAAATAAATGTATTATAACTATTTCTACGAAATAAAATGTCGAAAAAGTTATCGAAACGAAAGATTCATTCGAATGTGTTTAATGTAACTTTATCTCAAGTAGACAGATATAATCGAGTTTTACATCTTACAGATGAATCTGTTCATGTGTTGTAATACATCAAAATTTTACTCATGTTGAAATTTATTTAATATGTAAAAAGAAAAATGAGAATATAAAATATTAAACAATTACTGTTGTTCTTTCGCTTTGAAATAATCACCTAGATAATAAAAATTATTTACGTATATATAATTCTCAGGTTGAAAGTTCTACCTAATTTTTCAATAGCTTCAATGGCGATTGCTGGATTCATTCGATCATTAAATGTACCAAAAAGAATATAAACTTTTGTTTTAATTAAAATTAATCCTCTATTATTCTATAATAAAAACAGAATACATATTATATTTCGACGAACACATGGCAACAGCAGCCAAGGACAAATTTCCAATTACCTCTTTCGCATAAATTGATTCATTATCAGCTCGAATACATGTATAATAGACTTCATTAAAATAAAGACCTTTTTTACGTAGAGCTGTTGGTTGATTAAACGCATTTACAAGTGTATCAACATCGGATTGTTCAAGCTGAGAAAACGACAATAAATGAAACTTCGTTATGAAATCTATGTGCATACTTTGTAACCAACAGATGTTGTCTTTATTTCACTCGTATCACGTATCAATAGACCACATTTTTCAATATGACCTGAATCAATCAATGCAGTATGAAGTAAAACTTGAATTTGATTCATGATAAGGATCGATTAGAATATTAATATTCTCATTTTTTTCTTTCTTTCTTTTTATTTCCAATAGTAATCGAGAAGCAGCCATACTCATAGAAGTTGCGCTGACTTCAGCCTCCTTTTTTTTGTTCGTCTTCTTCATAATTATTCTATTCCAAAAAAGATTGCAACACATGCATGTGTAGGTAGGTAGTAGCCCTGCGATACCACTAAATTACAATTTTCTCGATTGAGCACAGCAGCCATCAAGGATAAAAATGAATAAAACTAATTGTGCAATTAATGATCTTCCTTCAATGAAATGAATAGAAAGATTTCTTCTTTTTTTGTTTTACACTTCAAACTTTCTTATTAATAATATAAATGACAATGTCAAACGGAGAAAAACAAAAACGAGATAGCATATGTTTTAACAAGGACAATATAATTAATGAAACTATTATAAAAAAAAAAAAACTATTTTTTTGTTTCTTGTGTATATTGAAAATCCACGGAGAGGGTACATCACACTTTTGATATATCATTGTAAATTGAAGAGAAAAGAATGATCGGGAGATCTCGTACTACTACCTTGAGTTATACAAAACAAACTGTTGGATAATAAAATCTATAATCCACTATCATGTCCGTAAAAAAATTGGACAAAAAGTAGAATCGTAATTATGAAAAATAGAACGGATTCAAGCAAACAATTTTCGATTACGCACACATATAACACGCACGAGTAGCACAAACTATACACATCAACCTCAAATCACGATATACAATTTAAAAAGTGCCAAGCAAACACGAAAATGTGTTGCTAAACGACGAAAAAGTAGAAAATCGAACACGAGATTTTGTCTGTAAGTATAATTCTAAAACATGATTTTAAATAAAAGCGTGGCACGTCAAAAGAAAAAAAGAAAGAAAACAAGCTAAAGATAATGTTGATCATAATATCAATATCAAGAAACCACGCTTGGAAATAAATTAGTCTTTGGTTATTCTTGATATTTATTTTGTAGCTTTTTTGCCGCGACCACCAGTTCGTTTTCCTGCGCTTGTAGCTCTACCGTTCTTTTTATTACCACCAGTTCGTTTAACATATGCTTTACCTTCCTGTTAAACATAAGAATTAAATTGAAGAAAAGAAAATTGTCTTAAGAAAATATTTACACGTGCTGTATTAGCCATTGTACCGAGTCGTTTAAGAGCTGGTTTACGTCCACTTGTTGGCTTAGTTACTTCTTCAAGAGTTTTTTTAGCTTTAACAGCTGCTTGTCTTCGTTTTGTTTCTGCACGTGTATCACCAAGAACTGCTGAACCGATTAATGTTTTAGCTTCCTTTGAAAATTAATAGAATTAATATCTATTTGTTTCTTTTTACGATTCAATTTCACTTACTTTTGCAGTATTTTTCATAGTACGTGCTTTTACTAATTTAGGCTTAACCTTTGTGCTACTTGAAGCACTTGACGAAGCAGTTGTTGCATCAACAGGAGTTGAACTCGATGTTGTTGCTGCTGCTGCATCATCATCATCAGTAGCACTTGCATCTGTTTTATCACGGGCGCCAAGTAAGGCATTAACTCGATTTAATTTATCTTCACCCCATGATTGTTTTAAAAATTCTTGGCCAGCCTAAAGAATTCAAACAATAAAAAGAATCTAAAAAAATAAAATCTTTCTTATTTCTTACAGCTGCAGTAGCCGCCATTGTTCCAGTTTTTTTTAATAATGCTTTCGCGGCTTTACTCTTCTTAGGAGCCATTGTTTTACTCTACTGACGTTTATGTGTGCACGCGTGTATAAAAAAATGTAATAATAGTAGAACGAGAAGAATGAATGGATGAGGTGAATATGTTTATCTAAAATAAAGTATATACATATGTATAAAGTGTTACAATAACAATCACTGAAAATTATGATTTTTATTGAAAATATACGATAGTATAAATGTATACATCAATTTTCTAGAAAATTGGAAGTTAATATCTACTGTTCAAGGTGAGATTTCATATATTGAGGTTCGTTATGTGCAATATCTCAGTTTCTTTTGCCCATTCACGTAAACGAGTGTATGCAGGCACCGATAAAGTCAATAGAAGAAGAAAGAGAAAGAAAAAGAAAAAAAAATGTCAAAACGGTAGCCATCATCAAAATTCTTCTCGTGTTCTGTCCTCTATATTGCTGTTATATAAAAAACAATTTAGTTCCTATTAATTAAAAAAAAAGAAAAATTTATATGACTTTGATTTGGAAAAATAAAAAAATATCACTCATTTTTCTATTCAAAACAACGAACATAAAAGGATAAAAACGTCTAATGATTACGTTTCTTTCGCAAAATTATTCTTCGAATGTCTATGTCGATAACATTTTATGTGATATATACTTATCAATAGTTCATCAACAGATAGGGTACTTAGCGCAAGCCGATTACATGTTCATGTAATAATTCTAGTTCACTAGCCTTTTTATTATCGTCTCGATCGACGGGCGTGTCAAAAGAACAGAATCAACGAGGCATTATGAAGTAGATTTATTTTATTTGAATACAATGATTTTATCTTTAGAAAGAATAAAGATAGAAAGATTTAAACTAATCAGCGATGCTATTGTTAAATTTATGAAAAAAGAAAAATCTACATCCTCAATGGCAAAATAGACTAGTATCATTGTTGAGAGTAAATTTTTACTAGTCCATATATCGACACATTCAATATTCAAGTGTAGCATGCGTATCTAGAATTTACATAACGAAAAAAAATATTTGCTTTATTTCCTTTTTTTTTGTGTTGAAAGATTGCATATCATTTTAACAGTTAAATATTAAAATGACAAACTAAATTATCATACCAAAACGTACTTCGTCTAATCTTCAAGATGACTCACCTAAGCTTTTATACCTTAAGATCTAAAGCTATTTTATAATGTTCGATTGTATGTTGACTGTTGCTGTATAATATTCTACTATGTGGGGTCGTTGCACATTATATAAGAAGAGTCTATGATAAGTAACAGAACGGAGAGAAAGTCAAGAAAAAGAGAATAATAAAAGACGTCACAAGCGTGCATTTTCATCATTCTGTCGGCTATACGTTGGTAATAATAAAATTATTTCTCCATTTGTATTTTCAACGGTTACATAACAATGACTGACATTCAGAATACTACGACGGATTCGAATGTTCCATCAATAAAACTCTATTGGTTGAACGATAGTCGCGCTGATAGAATATTATTTTTGCTGGAAGAATTACAAATACCATATGTAATTGAAAAAGTCCAACGTGGACCTGATAAACTTGCACCGCCTGAATTAAAACAGGTTCATCCACTTGGTAAGAGTCCTGTGATCAAAGATGGTGATAGAGTTGTTGCCGAATCTGGTTTTATTATTGATTATCTTATTAAAAAATATGGTAAAAGTAAAAATTTACAACCAACAAACGAAGATGATTTATTTCAGTATGATTATGTAGGTACTGCAGTGATTTTCACTGCGTTGATGTAAAAACCAGCAATAATACATTTTTTTCTTTTTGAGTTTCTTCACTATGTTGAAGGTAGTTTAATGCCAATCCTAGTTATGAAATTTATCTTTCAAAATCTACAAAAACAAGCACCATGGGTCATCAAGCCTATTGTAAATGCTATTTGCAAAAAAGTGGATGATCTCTATCTCGGACCAAATATCAATACACATTTGGATTTTCTTGAAGGTGAATTAGGAAAAAGAAAATGGTTAGCCGGTGAACAATTTTCTGGTGCTGATATTCAAGTAAACGAATCAACTTTTGCTTTATAGAGTTTTACACGTTCTTTATCTGGTTTAGGCAAGTTTTGCCGTAGAAATGCTTATGAAACGATCAAATACTAGTGAAGCATCCAACACGAATTTGTCTCGATATGTACAAGCAATGCGTGAACGACCAGCGTACAAACGAGCCATGGAAAAAGCTGGAAAAACAACAATGAGTGGCTAAAACCTATTTCAAGAACGAAACAATCTCCGATTAAATATGAACTACCTTTCTTTTTATTACGAGCATGTCTATCAATTCGATTCATAGCCTAGAAACAAAAATAAAAATATTTTTCTAAAAAGACATCAGTGCACTTCAATTTCAATCTTTTCTCAGTATATTATACTAAACGCTCAATTTATTTCGTGTATCAACCACGCGCTGTCATTTATCTGTTTGTGAGTGACATCTATAACTACTCTGCTATTCTATTCCAGCCATTTGTCCTGTTTCGCATAATAAGTAATGACATATTGTAATATTTTTTTTTCCTACTTATTTATTTGAGCGCTAGTGTGAGTCGTATTTTTATCGTTCTAAATATATCTTTATCAAAAAAAACCAACACGAATCAATGGATATTAATCAATAAAATCACGAATTCGTATTTTAATTTTTTTCTTCTGTCATAAACCTATCATGTCTCAGAGACATGCGACAAGTGAAAAATCAAAAACAAAAAATTCACCTTCTCCGCCGAGTTTAAATGATGAACCACGTTATTGTATATGTCAAAAGCGTGAAGATGAATTAAATGAAGATGATAATGACTTTATGATTGAATGTGATGGATGTAGTGGTTGGTTTCATGGTAAATGTATAGATTTATCCGATCGAATTGCTGGTAAAGGCTGCTGTTTTCTGTTGAACACTTTTTTAAAATCTAGTTTTTAAATAGATGACATTGAAAAATACTTTTGTCATGAATGTTCAAAACAACATGGACCTTCAATTTGTAAGATAGGAAATGAAGAAGACAAAAAACAAACATCTTAATCGTTCTAACTTTTGTTTTAGTTAAACAACGAAAAAATCAACATCGAAGAGATTACAGTGATGCAAATGCAGATAATAAAGTAGAGTTATAAATATACATAGAAAAATCTGTTTCTATTCGCTTTTGTTTTTTCTTTCTCATAGCCTACACAAAGCGGTACACCTGATTTCATTAATAAATTAAAAAGAAGAATATTTCCCGGGTATAGAATCTATTTTTACGACTAAACAACGGTTTATTTGAATGTCTAAATATATATTTTGTTTTTGTTTAGCTGCGAATCTGTTGTAACTCGATTAAAAGGCAATCATTTAACTCCTGAATATTTAGCAAAATATGGTTTTACACAACCAATATTAATTTCAAATCGAGATGGTCTCGATATGACATTACCGAATCGAACAATAACATTAGCAGAAATTCGTGACGCTGTTGGTATGAAATATTTTTGGTTCGTTTTTTTGATAAAACAAAAGTTTACTTCTTGTTTAGGACAAGATCGTTTTATTGACATCATTGACTGTGAAAAACAAGTGACTTATAAAATGAATTTAGATGATTACATTGAATATTATGAAAATTTTGAAAGAAGTAAAATTTATAATGTTCTCAGTTTGGAAATATCAAATACTAAGTATGAATTGAAATTTATTTAGTTTTACAAAAAAATAAAGACTAGATTATATAGGTTTAGTTGATACTAAGAGTACGATTCAGAGTCGAGCCTTACGCTGAAAATCAGGGATATAAATAATTTAAACAGAAGAAAAGCACGCTATTTATCCTATTGTTCATTCAACTATAATAATATGAATTTTTGAATAAATTTTTATTAATTAAGATTGGGCGAACAAGTTGTTACGCCGAAAATTGTACGAGATATATCGTGGGCTACAATAGGCGTATGGCCTATTAAAAAACCAGATGACGAAGAAATAGATTCCAATGGAATACTGAAGAAAAGCACATGGCCATTACAAACACCATTATTGAAAAAGAAACGTCGAACAATCTCATCAACAGATACCGATCAAAGTGAAGATGAACAATTTGAGACATTGGATGCAAATCATTTCGAAAATTTCGAACGCCCTGAAGTAGCAAAATATTGTTTGCTAAGTCCGCAATCATCTTATACAGATTTCCATGTAGATTTCGGTGGTTCAAGTGTTTGGTATTCTGTTGTTCGAGTAAATTTCTTGTTATGATTTTTGCATAAGACTAACAAACTTTTATTAATTAAGGGTGAAAAAATATTTTACATAATCGAACCCACGGATGAAAATTTACAAAAATATGCTGAATGGTCAGGATCACCAACTGAATCTGAAGTATTTCTAGGTGATAATGTATCTCACTGCTATAAAATGCATTTGCGCGAAGAAAATACGATCTTAATACCACCTGGGTTTGTCTATTTGCTGTTGTTTTCTTGTGTAGAAAGATTTTGTTCTCTTCTTTTTCTAGATGGATTCATGCCGTATACACAGTAACAGATTCGCTTGTTTTCGGTGGTAATTTTCTTCAATCAATGGGGATTGATATGCAACTTCGGTAGGTTTCCATATTAAATCTCACTATCGTACATTTAAGTGAGATGTAAGTTCGTATCAAATTCTTTCTCACTGTCGAAGCCATCGTGTTGGCATATATAGAGAGAAAAATATGAAGAGAACACTCTGTTAAAATGTATCAATACGATTCCTCTTAGTGGTCAACCTTGAATATCGGTAGTCATATATAATAAACACCTAGAATTTTCTAATCATTAAGAAAACGTTAGATTTATTCCCTATAATTAAACTGATCTTGAAATTCGTGCTTTAGAATTAAAACTTTCCATGATATCATTTATTTTAGCATTTATGAACTTGAACGTCTCGCACAAGTTCCAAATAAATTTCAATTTCCACTTTTTGAAACGTTTCATTGGTATGCTGCTAAAACGTTCTACGAAGAACTCAAAGGTAAATCTGTTTTACGTATTGTTTGTTTTTTGCAAGTCTTCTTTTTAGAATGTAATGAATCTAATTCATCAGTCATCAATCCGATTACTCAACATGCATGCGAATCGATTATTCACTATATGAGTAAATGGGTATCAGCTGATAAACGAGTAAGAACAAGACTAAGATTTATAAGTTTCTAAATAGGAATCAGTATGCTTATATTTTTATTGCTTTAACTGCATAATAGTTTGATTAAAATCAAAAATTGTTTTATTGAAGTAATTTCTAAAACCTTCTAGTGGAAAATCAATGATAGCCGGCATGTTCTATCGTCAGGATCACTTAAAAATTTTGTAATGGTAATAATAATATAAATAGTTATTGATTGTTGACATTTTTTTTTGTTCCATCTACTTGCTCGCGGATATTATCGCTTATTATTCTAATACTGACAATTATTGTTATGCTGCTTCATTTTCTTTTCTTTAGCCTTATTTATAAAAAAAATAAGCAAATCATTTTATTTTGCTGCTTTCATTGATTAATCGGAAAAAAAAATTATTTTAATGTTTATTTTAATTTTTTCGTTTAGTATCAAACTCGAAATCGTTCAATTATACCTAAAGGTATTAATTGTGAAAAAGTTTTGCGTGATCTTGCACGCGAACTTGATATAGCAAAAGTAAGTCGCCTTTGAAATGTAATGAACGCGATAGAATTATTGTCCTTCTAAGTATTTTTATCATTCGTAGCAAAATAATTAATACTGTGCGGTTCTAGCTTAACTATGCATCACAAATAAGTCTGTTCGTTGACGTTTTTCATGCCGACAAAATTGACTGCACGATGGACTTTTATATTCAAGCAGATTTTTTCCACAGTTTGAAAAAAATTTAAACATTTTAGAACTCTCAGTTGATGCAATTCAAAAGCATATTGATGTCTTCTAGTTTTATTTAATAAACATTTCAGGTTGACATTTTCTAACTAAGCACTCAGAAGGAAAATTGATTCTCACGTGTTAATTATAAATACATACAACAATATTTTGATCATCTATTAGACACGTTGTGGCTCGGCATGTGTTTCTAAGCCACTATCAAAGAGTATTCTTGCAAGTCCAATTAAACTTGTACTTCCTATGGAACCAAAACAAGAACTAGCTCATATGAACAAAACCAAAGTTTGTTATAATTATGTCGATAGCTTTTATTTATTTATATTTTAAAAAAAGATCAAAGTGCAATGTCGTCGTTTATCATCGGAAACTGAAAATATTAAAAACAAAGATTCATCAGTGGGCGCTGGTATGAAATTAACTATTAAAACAACATTAAGTGGTTGCAGAAAACCAAACAATAATAGAGAAATGACACCAAGTCTAAGTAAGAAAAAAGCTGCCCAAACAACATCATCTGCCAAGCAACAGAAAATGTAATTAGAGAAAAAGCTTATAGATGAATTGTTTTTCATTAAAAACAAATTTTTAGCTCAAATGCAAATGATGTTCCAGTCAAACAGGAAGAACTACCTAAAATAAGCTATACACTTGGTAAGAATCGATTAGTAAATGTAACTTTGGTTTAATATTTTTATTTAGATCTCGAAGCAAAACGACAACGTTTTATTCAACCTGCTAATAATCAGTAAGTTGTTTTCATTTTGATTATAATCAAAACATTTTCTGAGTGAAGATTTATAATGCGCGTCGATTACCAATATATCAGAATCTGAGAACGGTCGGTTTTAGCTTCGAATTCTTCTGGATTTCCTTTTGTCCTATCAGGATAAATAAACTGAGATAACTCCAATTCTAAGCAGTGTCGCGAAACTCATTGATTTTAGTCATAGTCGATTTATTTTAAAAAAAATAATATTTCTGTTTCAATAGATCAATTCATGACGAACCTGATAAAGATGTCAATAGTTCATCAAATGATACGAATTTTTCATTGATTCCTAGCGAATCAAATACAGATATTAATGAAATTCATGATAATAATGAATTGTTAGAAGGTATAGCCGATGGTGGTCTTGCATCATTCGTTAAAAGTTCTTCAATCAATGATGATTATTGTAAGTTAAAATTTTAATTTTTGATAAATTTAAAAAACGAATCTATTCAATTTAGATCAGCCAAGTAAAGAAACTAAAACGAAACGAGAACACAGTGCCTCGGATAAGAAAATTTCAACAAGTAAACATAAAATATTGTTTTAAAAAAAGAATTTCTTTCCTTTTTTTTATAGAAAAATCCAAATCGAAATCATCAACAGACACAGAAAAAGTAACTGTAACATATGAAATTTTAGTTTTCTTTTTATTAACATATTTTCTTTTATTTTTCACAGAAATTAACAAAGAAAATCAAAAGTGAAGGTAAAATTTATCTTATTTTCTATTGGCTTTTATTTTTTGTGTTCTTTAGATCCAACATCATCCAGTAGTAATCGAAAAAAATTGTTAACAACACCTGCAACACTGCCAAAAACTCCATCATCAAGTAATAATCCGCATGAGATATCAACGAATAAAAAACGTGTATCATCTTCCATACCGAAAAAACTCAACTCAAAAGATCGTCTTGGCAAAATTCTCAAAATAGCAAATACGATCAAATCACGTGGTGGCATCTTAACTTGACTTATTCGTCTTCGTATTATTATCATCTCAGGAAAATCTTTTTTTCTTTTTGGCACTCCTTTCTCGCGCTCATCATTTAATATAAAATCTTTGTTATATATCATTATTCTTACTTTATTTCTTTCGAGCCGTCTAACTGTAATTTGTATCTGGTTTGCTGTTTTTCCTAAATCAAGCTATGATTTTTGTCGTCTGAAATTCTACCGAAATATTTCTATATTAGATTAGTTTTGATGTATATAACTTTTGGTCTGATTCTTTTATGATCCTTCTGTATTATCGATTGTAACGATAGAAATAAATACCAAAAACTAAAAATAAAATGATATCATACATGATACTATTTCATAACTATGACGCAATTAGAATTTTTTCGTTCTTTCTTTTTCCATATTAATGATCATTTTCAATTTTCTGCATCGTAATATGGCTACAAATACTACGATTACAAATAGTCTTATCGATATTGGCGCAAACCTTACACATAAATCACTAAAACATCATCTGCCTTTAGTTTTACAACGAGCTAATAATGCTCAAGTTTCACATATTATCATAACAGGTACAAGTATATCAGGCAGCCGTGAAGCAATAGGCATTGCAACAAGACATAATCGAGAACAACAAAATGTTAAACTTTATTCGACTGTTGGTATTCATCCGCATGATGCTACACGTCATGCAACATATAATTATCGAGAACAACTTGTTAACTTATTAACAGCAAATAGAAACATTGTTGCTGTAGGAGAATGCGGTCTTGATTTTGATCGTAATTTTTCGTCACCTGACGATCAACGATCTGTATTCAATACACAATTAGAACTTGCTCGTGAATTTAATCTTCCGTTATTTATGCATGAACGATCAGCGTCGAACGATATGTTATCCATATTGGAAAAATATTCGCAACATGAAAATTTTCATGGCGTCATTCATTGTTTTACAAATGGAACTCTTGATGTTCTTCAAAAATATCTCGCACTTAATCTTTATATTGGTATAACTGGTTGGGTATGTGACGATAGGCGCGGTAAAGATTTAGCAAAATTAATTCCACATATTCCATTGGATCGTCTTTTAATTGAAACGGATGCACCATTCTTATTACCACGCAATATGCCAAGGCCTTGGCCAAGTCAAAATGAACCAAGTTGTTTACCTTATGTAGTGAAGAAATTAGCTGAATGTTATTCGGTTTCAGCCGATGAAATTGCTAAACATACAGCTGAAAATGCAAAGAAACTTTTTAAATTGTAAACTGAAAAGAAAAGATGAATGAATAACTAGAACATTTTATCCCGTCAAATGTACAGTCTCTCTTCATTCAAAAATAAAGTTTCTTTAGTTGTCATATCATGAATAAATAAATCGCTAACCCTCTACTGAAAGGATATGATCAGATTCAACATATGAAGTGCGTAGACTCAATAATGCTGTTTTAGATATTTTGCTGCACTGAACCTACGTAAGCGTATCAAGGTGTGCGATTAGAATATTGACCGTTTCAGAACAAACGGGATTTGTTTCTTTTTTCCAAAAAGTCAGCGAGTGTATTCTCAATAATTGATGATGTTATATGTTATTTCGAGTAATTCAAATTAAGATGAAAAAGAGTATATATAAAATTTGTATGATCAACAAATTAAAGGCATTCACATAAAGTTGTTGCTTGCGACACTGCGAATATTTGAGACACAAGTACTCTTCTATTCAAAGACTCTCTATTATATTTTCACTTCGTGGATAGTTCAATTAGATTTTTTTTATGATTTATTCTTGTTCAAGTTTCATTCTACCAACTTTTCAATTCGCATTTGAGCTTTCGAAATGTAATACAGAGCCTTGAAGTGTTTTAATATTTTAATTTATAAATAACAGGAAATGCATCAATGATATAAAACTGTGTATTTATTAAATAAATTATAGGTATAATCTGAAGCTATTGTGAGATTAGCAGATTCATGTGCTTATACAAGTACATGAACATGTTTTTCTCATATCTTCTTGGCTGTTCTAACATAGTTAGCGTTAGTTACTGTAGTGCCACAAAAAAATAGTCGGTGGAAAAAAAAGAATTTATCACGAACACTGAAAAAAATTAAAAACAGGAAGTTTATCGACTGTAGAACAGCAAGCTACAATTTTCTCTTCACAAGTTCGATATTTTTCTTTAATTCAAGAACACATGGATGAACTTCAGGGACAGATTTTTCGAATATTTCAAGTGATCTTCTATAGAATGAAAGTGCTGTTGAATACTCGCCCATCTTATCGTACACTGACCCGATATTATTGTACGAAGTAGCTAAATCGAGATGATTAGGAGGAAGAGTTTTTTCACTGATATCGATGGATTTGTCGTAAAATGCAAGTGCTTTCGAATAATCACCCATATGATAATGTGCTGAACCAATATTATTGTAGGATGCACCCCACGATGGATGCTTTGGAGAGACAGTCTTTTCTTTGATATGAAGTGATTTTTCATAGAATTCCAGTGCTTTCGAGTATTCACCCATCTTATCATACACTAGCCCAATGTTATTGTAAGAATTACCCAAGGAGGGATCATTCGGAGCAAGGATTTTTTCTTTGATACTAACTCCTTTTTCATGATATTTAAGTGCTTTTGCATATTCGCCCATATTACAATATAGAGAACCGATGTTATTATAAGATGTAGCCAAAGAGGGATTGTCTCGAGGTAGATTTTTCTGGTTGATCTCTAAATCCTTTTCGTAGAATTCCAGTGCTTTCGAGTAGTCACCCATATTTCTATACACCAAACCTACATTGTTGTAGTAAGTAGCCAAGTTGGGATGGTCTGGCGCAAGAGTTTTTTGGAAGATGCCATGCGATTTTTCATAAAATAAAAGTGCTTTTGAGTATTCGCCTAAGTTATCATAAACCCCGGCCGTGTTATTGTAACAACTGGCTAATTCTTCATGATTCGGTGGAAGAATTTTTTCTTTGATATCCAGTGATTTTTCGTAGAATACAAGAGCTTTCGAGTACTCTCCCATGCTATCATACACTCCTGCGATATTGTTGCAGCAGATAGCCAAATCCGGATGATCAGTATGAAGAGTTTTCAATTTGATTTCGAGATCTTGCTCGTAATATGAAAGTGCTTGCGTGTATTCACCTTTTCTCTCATGCTCCAAACCAAGTTTGGTAAAGGAGGAATTAACCTAAAACAAAAATTATATACTATGAAACTTATATTTAAATTAACTATAACCCGTCAATGTATCCTATAAATCTATATGAAATTTCTAAAGCTTTAACATCTAGTAGGCTTCGTATTAAACTAGCCTTTTGTACTTCACAAGTGTAGACGTACAGCAATCAGGGATCTCCTGATTTTTGCAATGTGATGATTAACTTCGTTTTGAACCTATAGCGATTTCCAAGAGAAAAGAACAAATCTATGGAAATGTTTCAACTTATATATGGAATGATAGTCGAAATCAACTGAGCCATGATTTAGTTGAAGCTGAGTTGAAGATTAAAATGAACACTCATTTTCAGTGTTGCCAGATGTCGAACTTGAAAGTCCGGAAACTTGCGGAACTTTTTTTAAATGTTGAAAAAATGCGGAAAGATTTTTTGGGTCCGTTTTTTCATTTAAAGTACCTTTTACTCTAACGGATTCGAAACAAAGATATTTTTTATACATATCTACAACATATATTTTAATAAAAAAAGTGCACATCCAAGAAAACTGCTTGATGTCAACCTCGAAAATCCAAAAAAATCCAAATTTTTTTTTTCGAAATCTAGAAAAAAATCGAGAAAAGCTTTGAAAATTCGGAAAAACTTTCCAAATCTGGAATTTTTCCACAAGATGTGGGGATCTGGCAACACTGCCTATTTTACTTAACCAGAACTCTACGATCATCTTTTAAATGAACCAGATCTTTCGAAACATATATTCGATTGTTAGATTTAAGTAGAGTCACTTGCAGAAGTGTCACGAATTACTTAGTAAATTGGCGAAGTAGTTTTTACTATGTATTCTAATGAACACGTTTTAATTATCTATTTAAATGAACTTTATGAAATTAGCATTCTATTTTCAATTTGAATTCGACTACAACCCAGGTGAATGAATCCGACAGAATCCTACCGTCGGAATGATTCCCGTGAGAAGAAAAATTTTCAGCATCAATCCCATTATAGGAAAAGAGGTTGCTGCATCTATTAGTGAAAAATCGGAAGTTATTAGATAAAAATCATCGAATGACTGTTGAATGTCAAAAAAAACACTCCTGATCTAGGAAAAAATTCTCCTGATTTTTCACAAAAATTCCCTGATTTCTAAAAGTTGTATCTGGTAACCCTGACAGCAATGTGTGCTTTTCTCATTCATTTCTGTATGATTCTGGTTAACTTACTGTCATTGCCGATTCGTTGCAGCCCATTTTATCTCAAGTGTTGAAACGTATATGGGTGGGTTTCCAATTTAGAATCACAAAAAATGCTATTTGCTAATAACACGCAAGGATGCTGGTTAACTTGAATAATAAAAAGCATCAATGTATTGCTTCTTCTCTTGTCAACAGTTTTTTGTTGATATTTCGATTTGCATTCAGTGTCAAGACGTCATTACAGTGTGCCAATAAATGGCTTATAAAATAAATAACACTTTCTCTTCGAATGAAATGATTCAACAGTTTCTCGCTTTCTGTTCTCTCTTATTTCGTTTTACATCTACGTAATCAAAGTGTAATGATAGAACGGGAGAATGATGTCTTCATTGGAATGCACAAGAGTTTCGAAGAATATTTCATGCCGTTTATAGGCTAAAATAGTAGAAACAAATTCAAAGAGAACATGTCTTAACAAATAATAAGAAGTTGTGAGCGTCCAAGAGGTGAGAAATAGGAATAGTTATTCAATTGACGAATCATCTACCTTTTCAGAATTCGATGTTGTATTCACAAGTTTCCCGGTCAAAATAAATATGACAGTAAGAATATATAGGGAATATTGTATACTTTTGATTTTAGCATCCAGGAATCTATAGGGATATTGAGGAGGTATTTATATTCCTCACTCCTTAGACACCCCTTGTTGAAATTGACATTTTACTCACTGCATGTCGATTTTGTGATAACATATATGCATAAGAACATTGCTCTGTCGGAAATAGATATAGATGCATTTCTCCGAAGAATATTTTGCTGCAGGAAATAACATTTTCTGCATTTCTCACCAATAAAAAGAAAAAAACGTATTCCTTGATTTATGAACATAAGTGCACCAATCTAAACTATATTAACAATAGCAAATAAACTTTTTTCCTGATTGATTCTTAATTTCCTGTTAACAAACAGGTATGAAAGGAAAATAACAGAACCTTTTTCTGTAGATTTTTTTACTTGCTCAAATACTAAATGCTTGATTTGTCTAATTTTTGACATGAATTTCATCTCTCTATTGAATCGTTCTGTTGTCCTATGTTCGATAGGTATTCATAAAAAATATAAATTAGGTTACGGCTAAATTGCATCTTTTATATGATTGTTTTAGCTCATATACAATATTAAAAAAAACACGGAGATTCAATTACAAAACAACAAAAAGAAAACTGACGGATGACATTGAGAAATGAATGAGAATTATATAGATGACTAAAATTTAGCATTGACTTTGTACTAGGTTTACATGGATTTTATTTTCATTTGTTTCATTTTTGGTTGTCGTCGTTTCATTTCACGTTTATATTCTTTTTCTTCCCATTTGCGTTGCTTGTCTGGATCATCAGATTGCATAATTTTTTCTTTTTCAGCTCGACGTTTTTCTTCACGTCTTTGTTGAGCTTGTTCTTGCCGTTGTTGATTGACATTCTTTAAAAATTGTTCTTCAATACGTTGACGATTTTTCAAAGTTTTAACTTTTGATTCTTTAGACGTAAAACGAAACAAACCAACATGATCCGCTAGATGTAATACAAAACGTGAATAATCGTTAATAACAGTTTCTGTTGTAATTTGTAATGAACGATCATTAGATGGAATTAAATTAAACGCAACAATTAATACACGACGAACAGAACGTTCACTTAAATTTAATGCATCCTGTTGTTGTGTTGCACTAACACCATTCGATCCAACAGTAGTACCATTATTTGACGGTTGACTAGATGATGATTGTTGATTATCATTCTGTATTTTCATTCCCGTATATTGATCACTAATATGAATGTATTCAAGTGCATCAGGAAATCTAAATGAAATATTCATCGATATAAACTAACGAATAAGATTCGTAGGGGTTTTTCGTTGCATTTCATGAAAATTTCTCCAAAAGAATTCTTACTTGTTAATAAAATCTCCTACTCGATTATCAATAATAATTTTTGATACTTCACTGATTTCACTTAATATCTGATAATTTCCGCTTAAACGATGTTTTTCAGCATTTTTTCGTTCCGAACAAAATTGACTAAGATCATTCATGTCACGATGTAATTTAACAGCAGAACGTTTTTTTGCTAGACAAAATACAAATGTTTCCATATCATCTTTACTATAATCAATAGTATAAATAATCATATCATTTAATGATTTAATTAATGCAGCCAATGAATTAAATAAACATTGTCGTTTAATAAAACGCATTTCAATCAGCATACTTTCAAGTGATGTTCGACCACTACACCAAAGTACATATAAACTTTCAGATTCTTTATGAATATTATTTGATACGACATCATTATCTATTTGTTCATCAGTTGATTTTGTAGTTTGTGTTTGACCATTATCACCAACGAGAGAAAATTTTCTTTCAAGTAAATCACGTTGGGAATTATAAATAGTTGCTGCAAGGCGAGCATTTTTCGAACGTCCAATAAGAAAATTTATTAAGTAACTCAATAATACAAGAATCATTATTGCTTCACAATGATACGATTCCCATCGATTGCCTGTTAAATTAGCAGGAACTTCAGCAATTTTAAAATCTGGTGTAGGTGCCGATGAAAATAGATCAGTCTAAATATAAGTTTCATTAAAGATTACGTTATTAAAATTGACCTTTATTCTTTATCTCTTAGACATTAAGTTAACATCATAAAAAAACAAATTTCTCTTTGTAATATTACATAGTAAATTCAATGAATGAAATGACTCAAACTTATTCATTACCGCTTCAAATTCTTCTTCATCAAACATAAGATCATCATCATCATCATCATCAATAGTGACACTATCATGAGTTGTTTGTTCTGTTGTTTTACTCATCGATGGTTGAGATAAACCCTCGTTTTTAGTTTGATCTGGCTGATTAAATTGTGTTTTAGATGATAACTGACTAGCACCGGGTGGAGATGGAGTTTCTAAAATAGAAATATACCTGTAGACTTTCTAGTCAAAACTCATCTTCGATTTCTTACCAGCAACAAATTCATCTTCATCAAAATCGTCAAATTCAGAAAACTCTTCATCATGAATTTTCTTTGCTGCTGACCACACGAAACATAAAAGAATATTTAATAAAATAAAAAATACAGTAACAGATGTACGCATTTTACTGATTATTATTGCACTAATAATTTTTTTGTGGCTATAAGAAATCTAGTGTTCCAAACAACAGATCAGTTTTGATCTTTATTCCTATTGGCTTAGGAGACATATCCAATAAATTATTTAAAACCAGAAGAATTTTATCTTGATTATTAATTAATTTTCATCAATAGATCATAGTTTAATTTAATTTCAAGCAATAGTTTTTGAATTTTTTCATTCAATAAAATAGATAGATGGAAGCATACAATGGATATCAATGACCAATGAGAAATCACAACGTTTTTTTGTCTTCATTTAATCACAACAACGGACACTCGCTTTCTTCTTTCTCTAACCAGTTCAATCGACCCTTTCGATAAACAAAAAAAGAAAAAGAACGAAAAAAGAAAAAGAATTGAAAGTTTTTAATTCTATTTTAGATATTAACATCAATCTAGTGTATTTACAGCATGATTTACAACAACAGTTAACATATTTATTTATATTTACTTTCTTTTTTCAGGTAAATATACTTACTTTTATAACGGTACGAATACTAATGATGATATGAGATGTTATAAAACAGAGAAATGCAAATTTTTTTTCATATATGTTTACATTAGTCGGTATATCGTATATGGGGAAAGGTTTCGACTTGTAAAAGAATTACGTAAATGACTTATTATGGCTTCTTTTTTTAATCAAAAAGAAATTTTTTTTTTGTTGAACATGATTGAAAGAAACAGACATAAAATTATTAAAGCATTTCGAGATAATACATGACAGGTCTTTTTTTCGCTTTTGCTCCGTTGTCACCATCATTACTATATACGGAAAGAAAGATTATCTCTGTCAGTTGGTCTATTTTTTGAGTAGAGATGTCGCAACAATTGCTTGTTGGGTATATAATATATACGTCGATTTATCATACAGAACTCGACTATTTCCATCAACAATTGCCCTCATGCTGTGCTAGTACATAGTGCGGTGAAGAACGGAAAGCGAGAGAGAGAGAGAGAGAGAGAAAGGAAGCAATATGAAGACATGGTGAAAATGATAACTGCATGTTTGTTTCAGGTTGTTGTTGTTGTTGTTATTATTATTATCGTCATTATATAGAATCTACATCGACATATAGTACCACGATTATATTATTTCATTACTAATGGCTCGAGTTGTTCGTAATAGCAAATTTCGGTACGTTTGATTCTTTGACTAATCAAAGGAAAGTAAAAGAGAACGTCCTTGTTTTATTGTTGTTTGTTTTTTTGAAGGCATGTCTTTGGTCAAGCTGCTAAAAAGCAAGATTGTTACGAAAATATTCGTATAACAAAAAGTGCGTGGGATTCAACATTTTGCTCCGTTAATCCAAAATTTCTTGCTATTATAACTGAATCAGCTGGTGGTGGTGCATTTCTTGTTTTACCACTTGATAAAATCGGACGAATTGATCGGGATGTACCACTAGTTACAGGACATAAAGCAGCTGTACTTGACATTGCTTGGTGTCCACATAACGATAATGTCATTGCAAGTGGGTCAGAAGATTGTACAGTTAAAGTTTGGCAAATACCTGATGGTGGTTTAACATCAAGTAATTTAACACAGCCAGCTGTTGATCTTGTTGCACATCAACGACGTGTCGGACAAGTACTTTGGCATCCTAGTGCGCTTAATATTTTACTGAGTGCTGGTAATATTGAAATCAATGGAAGTTCGAAATGGAAAGAAAATCTTTTTTTGTTGTTGTTTACTTCTAGGTGGTGATATGAAAATTTTCATATGGAATGTTGGTAAATCAATGATTTTACAAACGATTGATTGTCATCCAGAAGTTATTCTAAGTGTCTCATGGAATTTTACTGGTTCACGCATTGTTACATCGTGTAAAGACAAAATATTTCGTATTATTAATCCACGTACTGGTCAAATCGTTAAAGTAAGACAGAACGAACAAAAATGTGAATTTATTCTTTTTTCTTTCTTTTAGTCCGGAATGGGTCATCAAGGAGCTAAACCTGCACGAGCTATTTATCTACGTGATGGTCGTATATTTTCTACTGGATTTTCGAGAATGTCAGAAAGACAATATGCCCTTTGGGATGAGGTTTCATTCACCCTTAAGAAAATATTTTCTTTTGATTAAAAGAACTTTGTTGTTGAATAGGATAATTTGGGTATTTCTTTAACAATGGAAGAACTCGATTCATCGAATGGTATTCTATTCCCTTTCTATGATGAAGATACTAGTTTAATTTTTCTATGTGGAAAGGTAAACACTTTGAATTCGAATGATTTAAAATCGAAGATAATCCTTTTTGTTTTGCAATAGGGTGATTCAACTATTCGATATTTTGAATATACACCAGATGCGCCTTACATACATTATATTAATACATATTCATCATCGGATCCTCAGCGTGGTATGGGTGTTATGCCGAAACGTGGAATGAATATTTCAACATGTGAAATAGCTCGGTATGCATTTAATAAGATAGTCTCTGAACAATAGAACAGAGCGTTTTTTTTATACATTTATATGTTTTTAGCTTTTATAAACTGCTCAATAATGGATTATGTGAAGTTATCAGCTTTACTGTACCACGAAAAGTATACCGTTTATTGAATACAATGAAATGATAGTTTTAAGCATTTGTTTGTATTCAGTCTGAACTGTTTCAAGAAGATCTCTATCCTGATACAGCAGCTGAAGAGCATGCTATAACAGCTGATGATTGGATCGATGGAAAAGATTCACATCCTCGATTAGTAAGTTTAAAAAAAGAAGAGCGAAAATCTGCATATGAATGCGCGTTTATATCAATATTGACAATAGGTGTCTGTTCGTGATCTTCATGCGGGTGTAAAATCTCAATCAAATGCTAATAGTGCTGGATTAGCTGCTGGTCATGCTACTCAACACAAACAAGAAATTGTCTTTGGAAAATCATCAACGAATCAAAAAACATCTCCAACATCACCACAAACAAATGCGAATAACGGCGGTGCCTCTGTTCAACAAGGACAGGTATATATATATATATTTTTATAAATTATAAAAGTTTTTAGAGAATAATATTTTTTACTTTTTGTTATCATAATAAAAAATTTTATTTCAGCATGTCGATAACGAATTTCTTGAGAAACTTGTCGAAGAAATGCGTCGAGTGAAAATAATTGTTAAAGGACATGAACGGCGTATTAAAACATTAGAAGAACGCTTATCACAATACGAAGCACCAGTTGATGATCTTGACGATTAATACTTATAATCAAATAACAATGTGTTCTTTTTCTTCTTTATTTCATTTTTCTCTTATCTCACTCGTTTATTTATTTTTCAATTTATTTAACTACGTGCATATACACACAAAATTCATACATGCATCTTTAATATTACTTTTCAAATTCAGTAAGATCATTATTGTTTGCTTTTAATGTTGTTTTAGTTATTTTTATTTGCATGTATGCATGTTTGTATTTTTCTACTTGGGGAAGTTTTAGAAACTAGTTTTAAATCTCCACTGGTATCTCTTCTTCTTCTTCTTTAACCCTATCATAACTGTTAAACCTAACCTATATATACTATTCTACTAATAACTTGTTGTTTTTATACTGTATAGAAATAAATTTATTTTAATTTTATTTAGAGCGATCTGAAATCGGTTCGTTCCAAAACTTCCCCATCTTCAACTGAAATCCAGCAAAAATCCAATCAATATGATAGTATCCTTTCTCAACTAGATCTGATTCATCGTCATCTGAATGATATTGATCATCGTGTGGATGATTTTAATTATCGTTTGAAGGTGCTTGAAAATTTATCTGTTAGTAAACAACGTCAATATCAACCAACTGAAGATAGTTACAAAAAATCCATTCATTGTGACGATGGTCTTAGATTTTGATCTCTTAGAAATATCCTGTGTTTTATGCATGTAGTCATTTTTGTTTTTTTCTTTTTTGATTTCTGCTTGTCCTCATCGTTTTTTTTTCTCTGTTTCTTTCTTTTTTGGTTACTGTCTGGCCCAATGTTGAATATTTGTCCATTGAGCATTTAGCATTTGTGAAACAAGCAAATGATCCTTTGTACCTCTTCGTTCTTAACTTGCTCTGAGCTACACCCGGTGCTGTTATACGTGCTCGCAATCACACATTTTACTGTCTTCCGTGTTTCTTCTCTTTCCCTTTGTCGCGTCTTTTTTCTTTTGTCTTCTATTAGGATTACCACTGTACACATTGAGAATCAAACATGAAAAAAAATCTTCAAACAAACGTTTCTTTTTTGTGTGTTTAAACGAAAAAAAAGTATTTAACAACATCAGAAGCAATGAATTGTTTGAAAAAAAATATTTTAGATGAAAATCAATTCTATTATTTATCTATTGGTTTTATTCTTATTAATATTCATAGTAGATGTCATATCGGCTGGGTTCGTAGTGGAAAAAAATTTCGTTTAGAAATTAAATGAGTAATTATCGTTTTTCTTCTAGGCGTGACTTTTATAAAATTTTGAATTTGCCAAAAACGGCTACGTTGAATCAAGTAAAAAAAGCTTACCGAAAATTAGCAAAAGAACTACATCCGGATAAGAATAAAGATGATCCAAAAGCACAAGAGCGATTTCAAGATTTAGGAGCTGCTTATGAAGTAAAAACAAAAAAAAGTGTTTTATTCGAAACTACGTTATATTGTTTTATTAGGCATTATCTGATCCTGATAAACGAAAGGTCTATGACAAACATGGTGAAGACGGCTTGAAACGACAAGGTAGTGAGGATTCATTCCATGATCCATTTTCCAGGTATATCTTATCATTTAATGAAGGCAGGTCCTAGGAAATTCTTTTTTTTTCTTAGTTTTTTTGGTGATTTTTTTCCTTTCGGTGGTTCGAGAGATGATGGACATCATCAAGTACCACGTGGCGGAGATTTAGTGCTAGATTTATATGTAACACTCGAAGAAGTTTATAATGGAAATTTCGTTGAAGTAACAATTGCTAATTGTATTCTTTTGCTAAAAATTAATTATTTAGGTTGTTCGAGCAAAACCAGTAGCAAAACAAACGGCTGGTTCACGTAAATGTAATTGTCGAATGGAAATGCGAACTACTCAAATGGGACCTGGCCGCGTAAGATTTATTTTTAGAACTAGAGTATTTTCTATGATATAATTGAGTTGTGTAGTACAAGAATAATAGTATATTAATATCTATTGTGATATTTGTATGACAGCAAAATAATGTACTCTGCTAAGTTGATGTTTGCATTAGAGAAAATTATGTCGAGTATTAATATTTAATTTTTCTTGGCGGAAGAAGATTATTGATTGGAAATTTCTGTTTTAGTTTCAAATGATGCAAGAACAAGTATGCGATGAATGTCCAAATATAAAGTAAAACAAATTTTTATTTGACAAAAATTTTTATTATTTTCGCTTTTAAGATTTGTTACAGAAGAAAAAGTATTGGAAATAGAAGTAGAAGCAGGTGTAGCGGACGGATATGAAATACCATTTACTGCTGAAGGTTTGTCTTCGAAATTTTCGGAAACATAAAAAAAACTTTCTTTGTTGAATAGGAGAGCCGCATATGGAAGGTGAACCTGGTGATTTGAAATTTATTATTCGTATTCAAAAGTAATAATAGGAATATGTCGAATTTGAAATAATATATTTTTTATATCTTTTCATAGACATCCAAGATTTGAACGTAAAAAGAATGACTTATATACAAATTTAACAATAACTCTGCAAGATGCACTGAATGGTTTTGATGTATCATTTCCTCATCTTGATGGACATGATGTAAGAAGTTCAATACTACATTAGTTAGTAAAAAGAAAAGGATTAGGTCTGAATCTAGTAGATCTACACATTTTGGCATAGATTATCATACAGACAAGACTGAAAATACTCCAGCGATTTTTCATGTTTTCTGAGAATAGCATAGATAATCATTAAACATAGTCTAAATTCATTGAATAGTTTCGAAATATCAAATTAATTTTAGGTAGTAGTTAAACGAGAAAAAATCACTTGGCCTGGTGCTCGCATAAAGAAAAAAGGCGAAGGTCTACCACAACATGATCAAAATAATATTATTGGCGATCTTTACGTTACGATTGATGTTGACTTTCCTAAAGGTGCATTCGATAATGAACAACGCGAAGGTAACTCGTCGAAAGATCCTAGTTCTTTTTTAAATATAATACTAACAACAAACAATTCTTTTAGCTATCAAAACTCTATTGCAACAAGAACCGAAACATCGATTGTACAATGGCTTTTAGTGATCTATTGGTCGCTTTTTATTTGTTTAGGCTAATATCCGTTTTTTCTTCTTTTTCTTTTTGTTCGTATCTATTGTGCTGGACTATTCATGGATAAGTTATTGTGTGCTTGCTTTATTTATTTTCTTGGTTGAATTGACAGTTCAGAAAAAGATAAAGTCTGGTGAATCTATGTGATCTTTCTCGAATGCTTTTTCTTTCTCTTCTGGTCTGATAATCGAATAGTTCTATCTATTCGCAGAGAAATTCTTCTTTATCTATTTGTTATGTAGTTAGTTTTAAGATAAGAGAAAAATGATGACACGTACGCTCGTGATGATATGAAGTCGATCATTAATCAAGAGAAGAGACAAAAAAATGAATATGATATGTTGTTTTAATTGTAGCGTGCTAATGTTTGCTTTTTGTTTAAGTAATTAAGCGAATTTTCAGCAATGCAAAATAAAATTTAAAAGAGAATATAACAGAATGTATTAAACAAGGAATATAATCATTGAATAATCTAGTGAGTGGCTTATATAAAAGTGACGATTTCCAAAGAATATATATATATATATCAAATAAGAACTTAGGAACCTCTTACTTACTGATGAACTCCGGTGTCGTTAAATAATCAAGTTGATGAAGCGATGATAATGATTAACATACGAGTATCATGATTATAAATCTAACACTAATCTTGTCGGTGCATATGTAAAAGGATCAAACATTGGTTTCAATTGCGTTTGGAAATAATTAAGAGTAGAAATTAAATTCGAAATTATTCAATAAAAACTGATCGTTCAGAGATGACGCGGCGCGGAAAGTTTTCGGTAACAAAAGCGAATACGTTTATCTGAAAACAAGTTACAGTTGGTAAAATTTGTTAAATGATTAGTTTTTACAGGAGAGTGTGCTTATTGATTATTCACTTTTACATCGAAACTCTATATACGTCATGCAGATCCTAATGAGCTATAAATATTCTGAGGCAGACTTCGAGCTGGTAGCTCACTACTTCAGGGGTTACTCGACTTATATAATATTTCTTTTGAATAGTGAGAATTACAAAGAAAAATGATTCGAGAATTTCAATTAAAAACTATTTACACAAAAAGTACCTTTATGAGTTTTGTTGTTCCTATTCTCAATTCATGTCTCTGATAGTACGTATATCTCATAGGTGTGATGTTTCTTTTTCCCGTAATAGAAATAAGGAAAAGATTTGCAATTTTCAAAGTAAAATATTTCCTTTTAGCCTTGAATCAGAATTCAAAAAGCTTTCTAATTCACGTTCCCCAGAGACACAACCGTATTTCATGAGCAAAAAATATGTTAAACTTGTAGTATTCTCGAAAAAAGTTGCCAGTCTTTTCAAAGTCTTCATAGCTCATTAGAGTCTACATGATGCATACGAGATTGACCAGCTGGTGGGCTTCTCTCGTCAATCGAGCCTACGATACTTCAAGTAACTGGCATATGACAAAACTATATACAAGAATTTCATTCATACAATCTTTCATTGAAATTTCTAGTTGACAAAAAATTGCAGTGACGAAGCAATACAATGCAAGCTATTATAATATTCTTGATAAAACCTTCTTTACTCTTGCGTGCATGATGTACTTGAAGTTAGATCTCTTGAATAAACAAATGCTATTTATTTTAACCATTGATGAATTTGCGAGAAGATGAAAATTCCTCGTAATAGTCTTGTCGGAAAACATTATTCCGCTTGCTTGAAATATTATTAGTATAAGACATTTCATATGCATAGAAAAAGGTAAACTCATGTAAATGAAACCAATGATCTTTTTTCTTCTTCTTCAATGAAAGATCCACTTGACAGTTTGTCTTCTGTGAAATCGAACGACAGACGTGACATGAGTTGATGATTGAATGATGAAAAGTAAATGTTATACTAAGAATAGAAGGATGCTGCAAGGTCAACATACATTGAATTTATTAGGCACAAGAAAAACGCCCGTATATTTATTGAAACACATGTAGACGAAGCGATCACAACGATGATGTTGAGGAAACTCATTTGCGACTTCGACATGAATAACAGTAGATTTTAACGAATCAAAAATATGAATTTCTTCACTCGTACAAATCCATTGTAAGTTTCATCAGTTAATTTATGTAGTTCTTTTAACGCAAAAAAAAATTGCAACCATATTATTTACTGGCTCTTTATGATAGCGAAGAACATAAAAGTAATCAGTGTTTTAAATCATTGCGATAGCGATGCTTTTTAACTTTCGACAAGCATATATGATGGATTTGTTTTTAAATATTTCCATATAAATCAATTATATGTTACGAATTTTCATTAGTTACATGTTGCTACATTCATCATCAATAACTGTCTCACTATTTTTCGAGAAAATAGAATTCAGTCTTGATAAACGTGAAAATGACTATTAGTTGTCCCAAGAGAATAGAATTACATCACTAAAAGGAATTAAAAATTCTTTTTTTTCGATTAACAGATGCAGAATATATTCGGCTTTCTCTTTACAAACGTTGAACACTCTGATTAATGAAAACCTTCTTGTCTTATTATTTATTTATGATCGAGCATAAAATCTATTTCGCGATGGATATCAATTATATGCATCAGTTTACTCCGTTTTGTTAATTTAATTTTACTTAATAAAATATGCCTGGATACAAAATATTTACTAGTAAATAGAATTATAGGACTTCACACTATTAACCATATATGATGATCACAGGTTTTATATTCTTCACAGAATAGCAATATAAAATTAATTTCTAATATTCCAAATACTGTGTTTTTTTTTCAAGAACATTTCATACTATCAATGTAATTAACAGCAACAGATGGCGAAAGAATAATAAAAAATATAGTCTCATATATTTTTCTTTTTTTTTTCGTTAACATTTGAATAATAAGAACAAAAACTAGTCCTTGTTAATCGTTATTGTAAATCGAATTCATATTTGCTACACGTCATAATCTCTATTATTTCATAATTAAAATCTCGATAGACATATAAACTAAAAGAAAATCAAATAATCAGATTTTGAAGTCATACCATCACGTCATTCGCTTCTATAGAAGCGAGAGTTTCGATAATCAATTTTTTATAGACATTTCTCATTTAACAGAATTTCTATTAGAATAATAGATTAGGCCTAGATTGTTATGACTAATATTATATACACATATGTCAAGCAATATCTGTATCATTAGTCCGTATTAGCTAATATTTGTTTTGTTTTGTTTTGTTTATTATGATGATATGCTAATGAGTAACATTTATTTTGTTTTTTTCTTCACTCGAAATAGTTGATTTTCTACTACTTACATAGTGCCATTTACACTCCAACAAATACAAGCAAATACACACACACACATACAAAAAAAAGAAGCAAGAACATGGTATTGTCTATTGCTGCTGTGGCTTATCTAGGCCCATTAAACGTTGAATATAATTTTCCCAAGTTGTTTCTGGTAAATTTATTTGTTTACAAATATCGGCATATTTTTCACGTGTTTCAATAACATATTTCACAGCTAATTCACCATTATCCATATATGTGTGCATGATAGGATCATCTTTCGATGAAAACTAATAGAATAGAAAACAAAAGAATAATAAAACAGCGAATTTAAAATATTCTACTTACATCTTCTAATTCGGTTCGTGCTTTAGATACAAATTGTTTGATAGCATCAAGATCGACAGGAAAATTTGTTTTTTGGCTATGATATAAAAAATAGAAAAGAATAGCAGCTGTTGATACTAGTCGATAGATTTCATCTGAAACTAAATAATCAGAGGGAAAAAATGAAAATCAAGAAAAAAAGCAGGACTTTCAGCATGCACATACTTGATGAAGCTAAACCTTTTGAACTCAAGTCATGTTTCATCTGTTCAAAGCTAACATTAAATAATTCTTCTAATTGAGCTGTTGGTGAAAAAGATCCATCCTATTAAAGTCGAAGATAATCATAGGATATACTATGAATGAATCTAAATCGATGATAGGATAATTATAATTTACGTTATTTTGTTGTTGAAATATTCCACTTATCAGTGAATAAGTAAGTGTTGTTTCAATAATTGCTTTTAATGGCGCATCTTAATAATTTTATGACGACGCAAAATAAATATTATTATCTTTCATAAGCAGAAAAAAAAATAATAATAACAAAATATATGCTTACCGTCTTTTTCATATGTAATAGACTCATTTGTGTTCTCCTAACAGTAATATATCACAGTGATACATATGAATATAACTTTCATGTAAAAAAAAAAAGACTTACTGCTCCGCCACTTGCCATTGTGTCAGTTCGCGGGAATGACTAGCTAGTAGCAGATCGACTGGTAGTGCCGACAGTGAAATGAGACGGATCTAGCGAATTGGGGCTTTGCATTTTTCTTTCGTCCTTCATTTTTTTGCTCGAGAGTCTTTGCTCATTCATATTTTTCCTTCTTTTTTCTCGTTTAGCGGATGAATAACAACGGGCAGTGTTAGAGTCTAAGTCTTCGTCGTCATCATCATCCACAGCAAAAAAAGAGAAAAATAACTCAAGTGATCCATTCTTATCTATTCTCTGCATATACTTTCCACGTTGTACGAATTGAATGAGTAACTAGAGTTTGTCAAAAACTGGGAAAGACGCACGGGAATTGCTAATTGATTAACAGTTTTCTTTCCTTTTTTAACAATCTAACTGTCTGCCTGTTCCTTTTCAGTGTTCATCATGTTCAAGTAGATTGTTTGTTATTGTTCTTACAATTGAGTAGGAATGTTCTACTTTGACACATATGTAAACCAATTAAAGGGGTGATTCATGTTTAACGTACAATCAAAAATCTTAATTATTGAATGAATTTCATGTCATTTTTTGTTTATACGAAAAAAAAAGAAAAAGAAAAAAAGACGGATATCAAGAGGGAACAAGTGAAACTGTGTGGAACCAGCAAAAAAACGCGCACACACGCACATACACACAATTATTTAGGAAAAAAGCCAACATAAAAAATACACGAACAATGTTTGTCTCATCGCTCTTCCTTTTTCGAACACATTTATACACATAATTGTTCGTGAATAATTTACTTTTACATTTCTTCGTGTATATGCATTTTCATTCGTACCCAAGATATACGTAGCAACAACATACAAGCAGCGAAAGAAAACAATGTGCTTCATAGAAATATATGTTTATGTAAATCCTTCTCAAAGATAGATCTTCGACTGAAAACCTGAATATGAAATGATTCAAAAAACCGCGAAAGAGAAAATTACCAGTGCAAATCAAAAAAAAGAAAAAAGTTGACATCGACGAGAAAGAGAAAAAAATTGATTAGCCCCAAGTATAGTATGCTTGTCTATATATACCCGAGTATATATGTGTGTGTGTTTGTGACAAAAAAAGAAGACAAGTGAAATTTTTTGTGTTGAATAGTAGATAGTTTTAAAACAAAAAAAAAGAGCAGAGTAAGATGACCAAACAAAAATAGCATACATGCGTACAACAACGATGACAAACATAAAAACAAAAGAAAATTTTTTTTTGTAATATATAATGATCAATGGTACAGTCTTGGTGAAAATCATTTTGAAGTCATCATTGTAACGAATTCTTCGTAGTTGACTTGACCGTCTAGGAATAAAATAATTTCATATGAAAAATGTCTAAATCTTTTATCTTTCAGTAATCATACCTCCATCAATATCTGCTTCACGAATCATCTCATCGACCTCTTCATCCGTCAATTTTTCACCTAAGTTGGTCATCACATGGCTAAAATAATCAAATTTTAAAACGTTGAAAGTTCAATATTAATAACTAACCGAAGTTCAGCTGCAGATATGAATCCATTTCCATCTTTGTCAAATACACGGAATGCTTCACGAATTTCTTCTTCACTATCAGTATCTTTCATTTTACGAGCCATCATTGTCAAAAATTCAGGAAAATCAATTGTACCATTACCTATAGCGATCATAATCGTCAATATTGACATAGAGAAATTTTCATTTTCTTACCATCAGCATCTACTTCATTAATCATATCTTGTAATTCAGCCTCAGTTGGATTTTGTCCCAAACTGCGCATAACAGTACCTGAATAGAGCAAGAAAAAGACGATATACTTTCTACGTTCAAACATAATTTTGTTTTATTTCTCTTGATCAAACACAAACCTAGTTCTTTGGTTGTAATGGTTCCATCTCCATCTTTATCAAAAAGCGAAAATGCTTCTTTAAATTCAGCAATTTGTTCTTCGGTTAATTGATCAGCCATTTCAATTCAATCTTACGAATGAATAGTTATAAACTCCTACACACAAGAAATCTATAAAACAAAAAGAAGATATTAGTAAGAGAAAAAACGACAATAATAACAACAAGATACACTTGACAACATTAACTAAAACAAAACAATGAGAAAAAAGTAAATGATAAAGATGTCGCTTATGAATTTATAGTAAAAAATATATTTAAATCTGCAATGAAAATATATCGAATATATCCTATTGTCAAATAAATTTACGTTCATTTGTTTCATTAAGAAAAAATAAACAAGCACCATAATGCCTGTCTAAATGACCTCTATGAACCAATCATTTGATAATATATATGAATGATTCTTGTTTCAGCTGGAACAGAACGAACTAAATAAGAGAAAAAAAGAACGAGAAAAATGAGTATTATTTCAGTGGTGAGAGAAATGGTTACTTGCTTAGTTAGTGGGTGTGTAGGTGTTGCGAGTGCTTCTTGCTCTACCGCACGAGAAAAAAAGAACACAAACAATTATTTACTTTCTATATTTTCAGATCGCCGAGAATTAAGTATCATCTACCGGCGATAAGACGCCAATATTTGGGAGTGTTCGTGAGAGTGTGGTTTCGGCGTTTTGAAAACTCCAAAGGGTTCGCGTCAAATCTATTTTATTTTTAAACAATTATTTCAACACTCCCGATGGCAGAAGGAGGATTTAATATGCAACCACGCAATAATTATCCTGATCGAATGCAGCAATCACAGCAAAGTTGTTTTTTTCTTTAAGAAAGCTATTTGTTTTTGTCTTATTGAAAAGAATCTTTTATCTATAGGCGCGTCAGCCGGTGAAGAAGAGCTAGCAACTAGAACGCTTCATATCCAATCAAAACGATTCTATTTGGATGTGAAACAAAATCGACGTGGTCGATTTATTAAAATTGCTGAAGTAAAACGATTATGAAAATGTTCATTTCAAAATAGTTTTTATTTCCAATTAGGTTAGTGCTGGAGGTCGAAAAAGTCGTATATTAATGTCAATGAATGTTGCAAGCGAATTACGTGACCATTTAGAAGCGTTTAATGAACACATTCGTACATTAGGTAACACAACAACAAAAAAGAAATTTATTAATTATTTTATTTTATCCAATCATTTATATGTCAGGTGAACATAATCCTAATAATCAGCAATTACCAGATGAGGGTCGTCTTCGTTCAGCACTTATAACGCGTGATGATCGAAAATATTATCTCGATTTGAAAGAAAATGAACGTGGAAGATTTCTGCGTGTAAGTGAAAATTGTCATTGTAGTTTTTCTGTTGTTTTTGAATAACAACGCTTCTTATGAAATTTTATTTTAAATCTAGATTTCAATGGTTGGCATCAATTCACCCCGTACGCAAATTGCATTACCTGCGCAAGGTGTAGAAGAATTACGAAATACGTTAAGTAATTTAATTGAAGAGTTCGGAAATGAAGATGACAAAGGTAAGATATTGTGAAAAGGCGACATCTATAATCGAGCAGTTTTTCCTTTGAAAACGGATGGGATATCGATTTTTGAGTGATAAATAAAATAACCAAATGAAAATTTCATTTTTTCAAATTATTTCTATTGGATATTAGATGCATATATTTATAGATATATATGTATATGATTAAATAAGTAAGATAAATATTTGATTTAAATTCGAGCACCTAAAAATGTAGTGACTTCATGAAATTCTGTCAAATAAAATGTATTTCATACATAAAGATGGGGCTAATAGTATTTTGTCGTACTTCAGTTCATTTTCTTATTCTTTTTTTTAGATAGTATCGAGTCACTACCAGCAATAGGTAAGTCAAATAAACAATAATTTAATATAAGGTTGCTATTTGTTAATATGATCACCTATGAAAAAACAGAGCCATACCAAGTATACTTTTTGAGAAACGGCGAAGATGGAAGATTTTATCTGTTCAAATAAGAATTTCACCATTTGTTTTTTTTTCTATGAAATATAAAATAACTTCATTTATTTTTTAGAAGCATCTAAATTACCTAAAAGTAAATTTGTGCATGTTGGAAACAAAAACTTTTATTTTGATACTGGTTCAAATAATCGCGGCGTATTTTTACGTATATCTGAAGTAAATAAAAATCGAATTTTCAAATTAATATATGTTAAATATCTTTATTCAATAAACTAGGTTCGTGCCAATTTACGAGCAGCTATAACAATACCAGAAAAATCATGGCCTTATTTTCGCGATAATATTAATGAATTTATTATTGCAATGGAAAAAGAACGTAACAGTGATGTATTAGCAGAAGATAATTCTCCATTAAATACTGATAATGAAGATAAATCACCAGTTCCGCACAGCAATCTTAGTGAAAATAAATAATAAGATCACATTTATTTATAAACAATTATAGAATTATTATAAATTCATAAGCAAAATGATATTATAATAATTTTGGTAGTTTTAGCTTCATCTTCTTTTTATCCTTCTCCTTTGTCAAACACATAGACAAATTGATCCTTTTTGACTCTTAAAAAGAGCCCGGTGTGCGCTTGTATGTGTACAGTAAAGAACACGTTGCATTGTAAATGTCGTAATGGGGCACTTTTTTCTTCTGTACGTAAGAAACAAATTTTATTTTATCCAAATCATTCTTTTAGCATAACAAAACCAGTTTATTTTTTTCTCGCTTTTTTTAATCGGAATAGAAAAAAACAAAAAAAAATTATATATATATATATATAGAAAGATTAATTTAAAAAGTCTTTCGTTCAGTATTATTTACAGTAACCCATTTTCTTGTTGCGCGTCGTATATATTTTTATTTGTATGTGTGCGTGAGTGTCTATAATGAATTCTTAATTTTAGTTTTTATTATTTATTGACGAAACAATACGTTTTACTGCTTATGTATGTAGAATAGAATTTCGCCGTTTCGGGAAGATAAGTTATCTGCTTTGTTTGTGTCTATTCGTTCTATTCCAAAATCCTTTATTCTTAATATTATTTTTGTCTAAGTGCTTATATACTATCCGGTTTTCAATTTTTTTTTGTTCATTATCTAGTTCTAGTAGTTTTTTGTATCACGAAAAATATTAGTACATACAGAGAAAAAAGAAACATTGAACGATTCTAATAAATGTAATAACAATCAAACATATTTCACATTTATTTTATCTTTTAGATAATCGGTATTAAATAATTTCATGTGTTTTTCTTTGTTTTTTTTCTGTGTCTGAATGCCTCTTTACGGTCGACGATTGTTTCATCTTAATGAAGATGATGTAAAAGATAATACTGAACAAGAACAAATTTATACTATTGAACATACTGGAGAGAAATTTCATAGTCGGAAACTATATGAAAACGTAAAAAAAGTCTATGAATTAGATCGATGGACATGCGAATGTACATGGAGAGCAGGTTTAACACATAAAGATGCTTCTCAATCAGAAATTGAAACAAGAAAATCATTATCAGCTATTGTACCTAGCTATTATCATAAAATTATTTTCGATATTGTATATCATAGTAAGTAGTTGATAGGTTGTTGTTTTTATTGAAACAAATAAAATTCTTATTTGAATAGGTGTTAAACCTTTGGAAAAATTGGCTGAAGAAGCATCAATTGTACTTGGGTAAAAATTTATATCATTTCATTTTAGAACTGTAAAAATCTTTTTTTTTCTTTTAGCCAAAGTTTTGTTATTAGTGAACCAGTTCAATTTAAGAAACGAAAAGATACTAATGTGTAAGAATAACTTTTTCTCTTGTGCATCCTAACTGCAATAATTTGATTCTTGTTTTTTCCGAAAATAAATAGCGTGAAAGGTACAATTGAACGAATTGAAGAAAATGATGATCAACGCAAACGAACTTCAGAACGTGCATCTGCTCAAGCAAGACTAATATCAGATAAAGTAAATAGAATCCGTACTGGCTCGTTTTTTTTTCTATATATTTTTCTTGATGAAAATTAGCCAATGAAAAATGTCAAATATGCCGTTCGATTATCCGATGAAGATCGTGTACTTAGTAATGTGCAACCGAATGAATTACAGTAAATATTTAAAATACAGGCATTGAACCAAAATAAATCTTTGCATTTTATTCTAGGCGAAGTAGTTTAATACCTAATCGTGAAAAATTGAAAACATTTATTCGCTCATACGCATTTCGTCTTGGCAATCGAGCAGATAGTCCATGGATATTCTATGATGATTTAATTAAAGGCAAATACGAAATTAAAGAACGAATACCATCAGAAACTATTGACGAATATAAAAAAACAATGACCATTACATTAGATGTAAATAGAAAACAACTAAATATTTTTGATGATTCAGATAGATGAAAATTTATCTCTTTTAATGTTCTAGGAAATTATTCGTGAACAAGAACGTATTTTACGTAAGCAAACTGAAGAACAAGAGGCTCAATCAAGTCCAAATAAAAATTCCAATGAAAATCATACCAATTGTAAGTTAGCTTCAAAATTGAAAAAAAATTCTTTCAATATAGTAGTGAGATCTAAACTTATCGTGATCATGACGTACTATTCAGAAAATCAATGAGTGCTCAACGTAATAAAAATCTAAGTTTCATTAGAAAACACTTGACCGAATTCTGATTGAGTATCTATTATCGGTATCAGTTTACTCATGTTATCAAAATAATCATTTATATCGATGTATTTTTATTCTAACAAGACGAAATCCATTTAAAATTGAAAAATACATGTTTCCGCCGCGAGATATTTTCTTTTCTTAGAAACCATTTCTGTGTTTGTTCAAACTTCTTATTCTACGTCCTTCTCGAAGTAACGATTGCCTTATAGAAAATTTCCTCATTACAATTTTTAATTGAATTCACATAAAACTTTCATTTTTTGTGATTCCATCATGATTGATTCTCTTTTCGAACGAAATAGAAATGCGTAGTTACAGTTGATTGATCAGCTGCTCAGTATATTAAGTACATGCTAACATACTTATTTAATGAACGAGTCTATTCTGATAAATACGCCGTCCTTGAAATCAATCGACAATTGTTAGTAATTGCACTCATGCCCTCGATTTAATGATCCATTCCATACAAAATCTAATAATCGAAACAATAAAATATTGTTATCTAATCTAAAGATGATTTGTAATTTGTCTACATAGCTTCATCTCACAATGGTCATCTTGATGACATTCAAATAGTACTATCTGATGATGAAAATAAATCCAAAAAAAGTCCAAAGAAAAGAGTAAAATCAGTGCCAACAACACCAAGAAAATTCTCTCAAACAAATCCATCACCGACAAGAAAATCTCGATCACCATCTAAACAAAAAACTCCAACGAAACAAAAGACACCTACGAAAACTAAAAAACAACTGACATTACATGATATGAAATTTGCTAAAAATTCCAACAATAATAATAGTACGAATAATCAATTATTACAAAAATCTCCATCAACATCTGTAAAAACATATAGCATAGCTGTACCTTATGCTCTACTACAAAAATTAGATAAAACACGTCGTGATCGTGGTGTAGACTCGAGAGTCTTTCATCGTCTCGTATTACATTGTGCACGCACATTAAATGATAAACAACGTTTACGATTACCTGATGAATATCGTTCATTAATTCAGAGTAAATATGAAGAACTGGAATTAAAACGACGTCTATCAGAGATGACTGAACAAGAAAAAAAAGTATTTCTTCAAACCAAACAAAAACAAAAGCAATCTGAACCAAAATCATGTGAAGATTTAGATTTACTTACTTCAAAAGTTCTACCATCACCAAAACGAATCGAATCATTAACATCGATACCAGCACATTATGTTGGTGATCTACTTGTTGTATGTACATTTTTTACATCGTGTCATTCATTATGTTCATCATCGCTAACCGATGATTTATCGAAAGCAACGCAACAATTTTTACGTTCATTTCGGCATGACTATCTATTAGAAGCTTATAAAACATCATCAACAACAACGTTTTTTAATTATTTTATTGAATTTTTACAAATATTAGTCAAATTATTGTTTAAAGAAGACGAAAATCGTTCAAATAATGATGATACAAATACAAATGATGATGATGATAAACAACAACAACAACAACAATTGACTTCTGATCAACACGATATGGAAATAAATCATACAGAACCAATTGTAATCGATGAAGATATTGAACAAACTTATGACACGAAATTAACTGATATACCATTAACACCATTTACATGTCAAGAATTAACACGTTTATATTTATTAAAAGAAAAGAATGAAAATTATAGAACTATTTTAGAAAAATTAGCCATTGCTGAAACAAAAGATTTTTCAATTTCCGATCAAGTAAGCGGATTTTAATTCTGATTCTGTTTTTCCGGTTCCGCCCTCTCTCTCCGCAAGTCAAAGTTCATTACGTGAATAGAAGCCATCGAATGAGTCACAAGATCAAAATAAGTCTAGACTTAATTCTGTAAAAACTATCACATAGCATTTAAAATATCTATATAAAATATAGTCATGTCGATTTTTTCAAAAATTTAGATCGATCTTCTCTTATTATTAGTAAATATAATAACAACTAATAATGAAATCATGTCTGATTATTTTGAATATTTAACACGTACAATGTCTGAAACATATCGTGAGCGTAATCAATTACTAGCTGAACGTCGTAAAGCTCAAGAAGAAGATAGTAAACAGAAGAAGTTACAATTGCAAAACGGTGAAAATGGAAAAGTTTCGCCTAAAAAACAAAATAAAATTGGACAATTATTGACACCAAAGAATAGTATTGGAACAGCCAATGATGAAAATCATCAATCGTCACCGTCAACAATATATGACGATAACGCGGAAAGTGACGACGATCTTAAAACTGTTACACAACGACGCAGGCAAATGGTTGCCATGTCAAAAGAATTAAAAGAAAAACGTGAACTTGAAGCACAAAAAATTCACAATGAACAAAAGCGAGAATTAGCTATACAACGTGCTGAACAGGCATATCAGGTACTTTTGTCAATCAATTTGTTTTTAATAATCGATTTGTTTTATTGTTCAATATAGGATGCTCTACTTAATCTTCAATTTGGCTTCCGAATTAAATCGTTAGGTTTTGATCGAAATTATAATCGATATTGGTTTTTTAAAGGTCACGCTGGTCTATTTGTTGAAAGAGGTAGGTTTGATTCTCGCCCGAAGAGCTAAGAAAAATAACTAACATCACCAATATCTTCATGGTTTTCTCAATAGGTTGGATTGGTTCTGAAGTAATTTATTGTGCTCAATCTTCTTCATCTCAAGATACATCTCGTTCATCGTCGATGATCAACGGTGAAAAATTAATTCCAAAACATGAAGCAAATCAATGGTGGACATATGATAATGAAAAACTTATTGATCAATTAGTTCATTCATTAAATGATCGTGGTATTCGTGAACATAATTTATTAGCAAATATTAAAAAGATTTTGCCAGTTTTGCATGCAGAATTCGAGCAAATAAAAAAAGAGAAATTTTCAGCTGAAAATCCATCTGAAGAAACTACTGCAAATGCTGAAACATCTAATGATCAACAACAACCACAACAGTCCAATGATATTATCTTATCATTTAAAAATGATATCGAAGATATGGAAACACGTTTGCGTCTTGGTTCCTTGGGTGGTTTTATTATTAATGATAATCTTGTTGAATGGCAAACAAAACTAAAACAATCAACAGAACGTATAGATTTAGCTGAATTACTTATACAATTACAACAAAGTGTACCCGATAAATTTGCATCGGGAATATTCGGTATCTATGAAAATCAATTTAAAAATGCAAAAACTTCATCGAAAAAGAAATTCTCCGCTGCTAAATCGTCGACAGCAAATCCACAGAGTCTACAAATATGGATGAATGATTGTCGAACATGTAAAACTTATTCACGTTTATATATACTAATGATGATATTTGAAAATTCAATCGCATGGAACAAATCAACAGTCGGACTCAAATGCAAAATATGTCGAAAGAAAAACAAAGATGAATATATTATTGTATGTGATCAATGTTGTCTAGGTTATCATTTAGAATGTTTACGTGATTATACAACATATGATACGAAAAATTCTAACAATGATTTATGGTATTGTCCAGCATGTCGTCCACAGTCAACATCAAGACGGCGGAATCAAAAACAAGAACAAACAAAAACAAAACCTAATTATTATGACACAGATATATACGATGTGGATGCTGATACAACATCAAATTTAAGTAGTCATGATAATAATCAAGATTTATTGGATATAAATAGCGAACAAAGTAATAATAATGATGAATCAAACGAAGAATATTTATGTTGCGTTTGTTCTGGCGAAACAAGTGATAATAATGAATTAATACAATGTATACAATGTCGAAGTTTATTTCATTGTCAATGTCATGAGCCCCCATTACGATGTCCACCAAGATCAACAACATGGATGTGTAATAGTTGTAGAACGGGTGTTAATAATGAAGCACATCAGTCAACAAGACGAATACAAACACGTAGACAAGTTACGATAAAAACACGAGAACAACGATCACGACCACAACCAAAAAAATATAATGAAACACGTCGAAGTAAGAATCTATTTTTTGTGAAAGGACTCCTCCTCAATCGTGTTCATTACGATGAGATTATTTGTTTCATAAGGAATATTTTTTCATAGAAAATTTTAATACTTCGAAATCAATTCGACTTTTCTTTTCACGTTAGGAAGACCAAAATTTTCATTTCTACTATGTAAACTCCTACTAGAATAGCAATTTTTTTCTATTTCGATAGCTGTACGTAAAAATTATCGAGAAATTGAAGAAGATGAAGATGAGGAAGAAGAAGAAGAAGAAGAAGAAGAAGCTGAAATTGAAGATGATGACGAAAGTGATTATGAAGTATCAACCAGAAATCAAGGACGTCCAAAACGTGTTCGTCGATTAAGTCCAGCATCAACAAATGACTCAATGGATAAATCAGATGACAATTTTGATACTCGACCTACGACACGTCGCAGAGTACGAATAGCACGATCATCATCGTCATCATCATCATCGACATCAGTATCTGATGAAGAACAGATAATGGCAAATATAAATGATGACGAAAGTGATAGGGAACAAAATGAAGATGATGATGATGAAGACAACGAAGAACAAGAACAAGCAGAGGACGGAAATATTGAAGCTAATTCACCGTCCTCATAGTAATCAAAATGGTAAAGAAAATTTTTATTTGAATTTACTTTTTATTTTGATTCATTTTCTTTTATAGTAATATGTCTCAGTATTATTGATACTTTGGACTGTAAATAAATCTGTATTAATTGTAAGAAGAATCAATAATATTATTCTTCGACTCGTCATCGCCAGTATCTCGTAACTTTGTCCATGTAAATGTTCATTGGTGTTTTTTCCTTTTGTTCTGCATATATAGTCAACTTCGATCTTTTACTTTATTCCTGAAACTATTCTTTTTTCATGTAATATATTGTCGACATCCTGTCCTTCTCTTGTTAACTGTCGTCATATATCATTAAAACCGAATAGACAAGATAAATGTATACATGTGTGTGTGTGTGTGTGCTTTCAAGCACGAAAATCAGCTGAAATGTGCTGATTTCAGTTACTATCTTTTCTTTTTCCTTGTCAACAGAGAACACTAAATATCGATTGATGATTTTCTTTGATTTGCTCTTTCTACTTATGTGATGTTACTTTTCTTGTATGATTGCTTGTTTTTTCTGTCTTGATCTTCAACTCTATTTTTCTACGTCATTATAGACGATATATGTATGGTACGATCGATGTTAATATAAAGAAAAGATCACAAAGAAAAGACTGAATTAATTATATTTAATAATTGTTCTAGAGTAAAATTAACTTCCAGTAGTGTTAGTTCATATTTAATGACAGATGTTGAGTTATAATTGTTGGCTAGAATTTGATGTAAAGTATGTGAGGATGACTTACAGAAAATACTTGTTTCACTCTTTGAAGTATCGCTAATGAGAGCATAAATTCTAAGTTTAAAACTTACTATTTTTGTCCTATAGAGAGAAAACGAGTCAAACTTCTTTCTCTTTCTACGGACAAGGAGTGGTTCCGCTGATATTCACTAATTATTACGAAGATTCCGTAGCAAATATGGAAGTTCTGAATACTAATTTTTGTCATCGCCGCGCTTTGTTACTCACAACGAGATCTCATGTGAATAAATGGTATATGCGGGCAATTCGTTTTCGTGTGTATGGAGTACACTGACAGAAAAATAAATAACAAACAGGTTACCCTCAACCTTCTTTCGTCATCGCGTTTTACTTTCGTTATAATTCTCAAGCGAGTAAATCAAATGAACTCGTCAGATTTTTGAGGATCAAGGAGTAACACAGAGATATATCTATTAACGAAAGAATAACGTTTCTAATCTGTTGAGACGCTCTCTGCATCACTGTGATAATTCCTTGGAGAAATGGGAATGACTTATTAGCTTTGTAATCCATCAAAGCAGAAGTAAAAGTTCATTGTACTGTAGCCTGAAATTTTATTATTCGATTGAAAATAACCTTTTTGATCTGAAGTTAAAACTTGAATTCATTCTGATCATTAATTTATTACAGAGAAAAAAGAACCTTTCTTTGAACCTCTCGTTTATCTAAAAATTTACAATCGAGTGAACAAAATACACACCTAGATAAACTAAAAAGTACCATATCGATAAAATGTATCAAAAATAAATATCAATTATTTCAAAATCCTAAAAACGAGTTTTATTTTTCTTTTGTTTGTATATCCGTAGTTTTTAAAGCCTCTTGTTCTTCTGGCAATTCACCTGTTTTAAGACGACTACGTTCATCAAGATACCGTAGAAGATTGTCAATAAAATCTGGTGGCGTTGATGATGAATTATTATATGCAGATGTTTTCGTTTTTTTCGAAATTGGTGGTGCCGGTGGATAGTCCTTTACATTGCAAAAAAAACAAATATGTGGTTTAAAAAATGAAAGCATTAATTCAATTTACCGGTAATGAACGTTTTTGTCCTTTGATAATTGTTTTTACTGTCGTTGTATTATCCAATGATGAATAGAATTCTTTATGTTTACGTGACACAGTCGAAGCATAATCGTACATCGTCGTTTGTTTACCGTTCATTTTTTTCTTAGTTTTTGCTCGTTTTCGATTAACTTTTGGTGCTGTACAATCATTTTCATTGAATTCAAATAAATCATCTGGCTTTCTTTTCATAGTAATTCTTTTTTTTTTATAAATAATAGAGTAGTTTTTCTAAATTTGAACAATTTAAAGCTTACTTCATGGCATAAGGAGTTGGAACTGAACAAAGAATAGGTGATTTGTTTTCATCAAAATCATTAAAAAGTTCGTTCAAATCAATATCATCGAAATCGTCATCAACATTATTCATTATTTTAAAGGACATAACTTCTAGAAAAACATCATCAAAAATATAACTAAACTAAACTAAACAATACTATGAAATAAATGTATACGAATTATATGGGTATTCATGTTCTCTTTCATTCCAATGGACGATATACGAAATAGACTTTTTGTTTTTTCTATCACACTTAGCCGTCAACATTTGGTCTTGTCCACTGTTTATTTCTTCGTTGATTCATCTTTTACTGGATCATTATTCATAGTCATGACTAACTATGTGCTCTTTTCCGTCAGGGTCCGTAACATAATAGATCAAATTGTCTTAGTTATTTTTTCTTTTCGTTATTCGTTCATTTCATATTTTCATCAGTTAAACTACATTCAATTGTATTAAGATTATCATAGTTTATAAAAATGAATGGAAAAACACATTTAGAAGATTTATCAAATGAAATATTCTTTGAAATATTTGATTATTTACATATGCTTCATACATTTACTGGTTTTACGTTATTAAATAAACGAATATCAAATATTTTAAAATCAATTCCACTTCATATGGTTATTTCATTTGGAAATTTTCGCCAACAAATTAATTTTCTTTTGTCTCATTTAACTTTTCATGAAGATCAAGTTATTTCAATAAATATTTTTGATAGAATTCGTGATCTTAATAAACTTGTTATACTTGAAATATTTCAACCAGACCGCTTAGATTTAAATAAAAATAATAATGATGAATTAACTTGAATATTACTAACAATTAAATCATTATCTCTTCGTTCACTTAAACTTCAATATCCTAGTCATTATTTAAATATATCAAATTATAAATTCAAATCTAATCTAATCTTACTTGGTTTAGCGAATATCTGGTTCATCTTCAACTGTATCTGTTCATACAGTTTTATAAATTTTTCGTCTTTGCTATAGAATACGATATTTATGCATTACATTACAACATGAAAAACGATTTGAAAATAATATTAAGAAAGTTATTACTGCAACAGTTCTATCTGGTTTGGTGGAAAAGGCAGAAAGGGAAAATGTCGAAAAGGCAAACATAGAAGGGGAAAATACAGAAATTGTAAACGTCGAATGAAAAAAGTAAACACCGAAAAGGTAAATGTCGAAAATTGACTTTTTTGATGATTTTAAAGAAAACGAAAAATTTATTTTCTAAATTGGTGTGCACATATACGTTGCATCTATGTTTTAATACAAGCCCAATACTTTTTTGATGAGGACGTTTTATTGCATGTGAATGTGAACATATATTGGTTAAACACTAGTAATGGTTTACCTTTATTAGTCGTTAAGAATGATATTTCACTGTCCATTGCCAACAGTTGAAGAGAGAATTATTTGTTAGTTGTTTTCGCCCGACTGATTTATATATATGGTATACGCTAACAATGGACAACTACAGACGTGGAGGACAACGAATTTAACTTATCCTACTAACAACCAATACCAACTAAAAAAAAAATTTCGTTACCTATAGACATCTTTTTCATTCGACGTTTTCCTTTCGACGTTATCCTTTTTTTCGACGTTTTCATCTTCTGCAATTACCAGTTTAGGCATTTTCCTGTTCGGCGTTTTTGTTGTCTACCTTTTCCGCCAATTCGGTATAAACAAGTCATGGCTAACTACGTGTATCGATCATGTGTTGTTTTTCATTTCGAAAGTTCTATGAATTGGAACAACAATTCATTATTCTATCAATGATTTTACTTTATTCATTAACAGACAGTGGCATTAGAGAAAAATCGTCAGACATGATTAATATCATTTGAATTTTTACTTCTTGAAATTGACAAGTAAATTTCTATTGCTGATCTGTAAACAATAATGAATCAAATATTTTCCAACTTTCTATGAAGCTTTTTACCTTGGGAAAAGTTAGAAGATATTTTCCTACAGATACGTGATTTTTTTCTCTTTCGCAAACCGATGATTGTCTGATGATTAAGAGTGACTCAAAACGAATTATATTGATGATTTTTATACGATGAAAAACTAGCGACTTATTACTGTACTGAAAAATACACAAAGTAGATATTTTTATTTATTTTATAGCTATTTCTCAATCATCATTAAATAAAACTTCATAGTTCAGATTAAAAAATAGAATATCGGGAAAAGTACAATAACAACATATATGAGTGAATAGAAGAAAATTTTTATATTGCATTCGATAAGCACACAAAACAATAGCATTTTATTAGTGTTTTTTGTTGAATCAACGAATAGTACCATCATTTTCTAAGTTTAACCATTTATCAACCATATATTAAAAACAACAAGTAAAATAAATGAAACCTTCCCATAATAATATTTAATAAATATCAAGCAAAAAGACAAAAGAATCAAGTATATTGTCAATAGAAGAATATCATGATAATGACCATCATTGCAAGAAACAGATTAGATGTAATCGGTTTGATATTTATTCCATCGGACATCGTCATTATGATAGAACCACAAGCAACTCGTTCACCGGCATTTCTATTTCAAGTCGAAACAAAAAATCAATAAAAATTCGAAAAGAAAAATTTGACATCTTACCCAGTTAGATTGCTTTCACCCGCTCCCATACCACCATCGTCATACATACGATGTACAACTATAGTTCTATTAGCAATCGATTGTGTAGCATTATAAAATTGAATAATACTATCTTGAATATTAATAGTAACTATACCATTAGCATCCGTTGTTATATTGCCAAGATCACCAACATGTCGCTGCATGATAGTGGCATTACGAGGTCCATGAGAAGTATCTAAATATTTTTACGAATATAATAAAACGTAAATTGTTATGATTTACTGTAAGGATTAAAATGGCCACCAGCTGCTGTACAATTTGGTGAACTTTCTGAAACTCCATAAGTATGAACATGAAAGCCCTTCGAAAACAAAAATTCCATGAAAAATGATCTGCTTTTTGAATTCTTTGAATCATACATGATTGGCACTAATATTCAATGACCGAAGTGTACCAGTAATTTGAACAGGTGAATTTGCATCTTGTTGAGAAAATGTCAATGTTCCTATTGACGTTGTTGTAGTATGTAATTGAAGATTAGCTGTGGCGTGCATACTGCATTGTCCTTGATGAATTAACACGAATAATACACTGGTGAATAATATAAACATCATTTTCTATGTTGAAAAAAAAACAAGATCTATTCAATAAAGAAAACATTTTGATTGTAATATAAATCTGAATATATCATCGGATATGTGGATAAATAAAAAATAAAATAAAAAGTACACTAGGTCTTTTTTTATATTTTGTTTTTCTCGTTCTCTTTGATATTTTAGCTCAGGCAAGGTGAAAGATCTGAATTCTGAATATTACCTACATGTAAATGTCACTTAAGCTACTCTAAAAACTATGACACATAAGCTTCTACTTGATCACTTCCGTAGTTTATCAATGATAGTGAGGAACAATCGAATATTTTTTCTCTACATACTGTTATATTTCATTTCTGTTCTCATGCTTACCTTATCTCATAGATAAAATTCAATATTATCCTTCTCTTCTTATCGAATATCTATCCATTGTTTTAAGTAGCTATAATAAAGACATTTGTGACTGGATACATATTACGTTAGTGTAGCCTAGACGAAAAAAACAGCGTAGCAATTGACAACCTCAACAGCAACAAGAATGTAAACAAAAATCAACGATAGAATAGCGTAGTATAGTTGTTTAAAACGTATTGAGGCGTGACACTAATAGAATCGAAAAATGTGCTCCAATATATGCGAGCAAACTAGCCAGACGAGAATAAAATCGAATTACTTCGTTTTTTTTCATCATTCGTTTATATATGTTAGTAGTACTAGTGATACGGAACGGTAGGATGAAATAATGACTTCTTTCGATTTCAATTACTGACGAGCGGTACATAAAACTAGACTGATATATCAAAAATCATGCTGAATTCAGTCATAAAAATACTTGATTCGAGCAATCGCGTTACACATACAAACAAGGCGATGAAAATAATCATTCATCATAGGACGAGTATATCAGTAAAATAATTTTAAAAAAAAGAAAAAGAAAAAGGAAGGTGTCTCATCTATTTCGGTCTCTATTTTGCCTAGAAGAAAATGATGTTCACTTGTGAAATATAAACGAAACCAAAAATATCGAGTTGAAAGGTTCATATTACTTCGTGAAGTGACTGTTTATTTTGAAAGTTGATCTTCAATAAAATCTTCACATAGAGGCTAAACAACTATAAAAATCAACTTCATTTTTTCAAACCTATTCATAGTTCTTATTCAGTTGAAATGTTGAGAGAATAAAATGCAAGATCGTCTATTTCTATTTTTTTATCAGTTTTATTGAAATCTATAAATCTTCCAATGGTAAATATTGATATACGTTTGTCAAATTATATGAAAGCATAATTTAGACCAAGTCATGATTTAACCAAATGATAATCGCCACAATATAACCTTCCGAAAGCGTTCAATTAAAAAATAGTCTGAGAGACTATGTTTCTTCATGAATGATACAGGTTTTTTATTCAATATCTGGTTATTTTAATGATTTTTGTAATCAACCGCAGGAACAGATATACGTTTTTCTCAGGACAAGGGATAAATATTTGTCTCTGCTTAACCTGTTGAGATTGCACAACCCGGAAGTGTTAACATAGTTTCATTGTAATCAAAATTTTCTGGTTGTTTCAAAAACTCCCTCTTATTAGAATTGAGTTTTGGCATTTTCGTAGGAAACAGTAGTACTAAAATTAAAATGTCGTTTTTTTCAAATTATTTTTACGGCATTCGCCCATAAAAAAGCAAGAATTTAGAAAAAAAAAAGAGACCCTCATACCTTGTATTCTAACAACTGTATTCCACTTAAAATAAGCAAACAGACAGAATAGAGACCTCGTTTAGATCTTTCAATTATCAAATAGACTCATCTGGATCATTGATCTCGTCGATGATCAATTATTGAGGCACGAAGACCTCAATAATTAGATTTCTGTTTGACTATTTTCTCGCTGATTCAAAAATGCTTGTCAATTTGATTCACAATAAATTTGTTTTTGCCATCAAACAAAGGAATTCAAATGTATTTATTTGTTTTGACAGTGTTGGCATTTACTTGTCATTTCTAGTACTTAAAAATAGTAATAATCATACAGATATAAAGCTTAATCAATAATTATAAAAAATTCCTATTTTTTTTCCGGCTACTCCTTTTCAAATAAATAAAATGTAGCTATGAAAATTTTCTATGTTGACTATAATTTATTACTTTTTATGATAAAACATGCTTCAGATTACCAGATGAGAGCAGTAGAGCTATCATTCACTTGTGATAATGTCAAGGATTTCTAAATTATTATAGTAGCGAATATTTATTGTCGATATAAAAATATTTGATTTATATTTTTTACGTAGTACCCTATTGTATATTTATCTACGAAATTATCATACATTCCGTTAGAGAAAATCCTTTTACTTAATAGTCATGTTGCTATATTAACGTCATTTTCAATTAAAATATAAAAATAACTATTTCTAATGCAACATATTTATCTAGCGACAAACAAGAACGCAAAATAAAAGATTAAAGTTCTCATATTATTTCAACAACTATACTCTGCGTAGAGTGTATCTATTTTAGAATATAAGACTCATTAAAAACAGTAATAATCCTGGTATAAACTCATTTTCAGTTAAAATCAAAGATCTCAACAAAATCTATTTTAATTGAATCAAATTAACAGATTCTTGCCTGCATCCTTTCTACTAATATAATACTGATAAGTTTGAAGTAGAAACGTTGTTATTAGAAAAAAAATGTTTTAGCATTGAGCATCATTCGTTTCGTGAAATATAAAGAAGATCCAAAATATTCTTCATAACCATAGTTCTGAATAGGCAATTGAAAAAAAAAATATTCAATGTATATTATATCATCCACAAACGAAAATTAATTTTTCTTCAACGATGATTTCATTCGAAGAATTTGTGCATTAAATATTCGATCACATTTGAAAATTTTCAAGTCACATTTATAATGTTCAGGACAACAATGTTTATGATCTGCACAGCAGACACCTTTTTTCAGTGGACAACATGAATAACCTCCGTCTATTGTTTTGCAACAAGTGCTGTCCGCTGAGCACACTGTTATTCCATCTAGACAAATAATATCTGCGTTTGATTCTGGGATGGTATCGATGTTTTTTGTTCGGGTCATTAGGAATAATGAACAAAATAGAACGACAATAGATGGTTTCATTTTGCAGGATAAGATGAAAATGCTGTGTTTTTGCTTTTTTTTTTAATTTAAGTTTTATTGAAAGATAAGAGAGATATGGTAGCGTCTCTTAAAGAAGAAGAAAAACGAGTCCACAAAACAAGAAGTCAAAATGTGTAACAGAAAACAAACAAAGCGCAAAGACGGATTTGAATTTACATTGACAATTCTATTTTTCTATATAAAGAACAGACTAATATATATCGAAGAGCTATGCCGTTTGTATTTATTCTACGAACGGCAGAGTCGTTTTGGTCGTTGATTTGTTTCGGATGATGGCGAGGGTGATAATGATGAATTTTGTGTAACTGATCGTTTTGATGTAGCAGCCGTCGGTATAATCCACATCGGATTAATATAAAAACTTGACGGTGCCCATATACGTGTTGAACGACGTTGTGATGTTGATAATGATTGTAAATGAGGTGAAATACTTGTTTGAATACGTAATGGTGAAGAAAGTCGAGTGTTTATTGATCCATAACCACGCATATATTCGGCTGGACTTGAATGTTGAGAGGATGAACCTGAAACAGTTGTGGTTGGCGATGGAGATGTATGTTCTATAGAAGATGATGAAGTCGATGTATTACTGTCATGTTGCGATGAGGATGATAGATCTTTTCTCTCTAATGCTTCTAAAAAGAGATAGATTCATTTTCAAACTTTATGATGATAATAATATATATTTATATATATATATCTTGAATAAGAATCTTCAAGTGATATGATCAAGATTAGTAGGGAAAATGACGGTTTTGTTATTTAGCCAAAGCAACGATAAAATGAGATCTGGAAAGCATTCATTGAGACTAATTATGAATTAAAAACTTTTTTAACACGAGTTTAACTATTTGAATCTGAAATGCCGGGTTCATTTTCAGTCAATCAATAAAATGAAATAGACCTAATCGAAAAGCAAAAACGATCTTAATGCATAATGAAGCAGTGAGCTACGCTTATCATTAGTAGAACACAAATTACTGTATGAACTATGTTGATAATTATCGCACATCATATCACAGTTTGAATTCAGTACTTGCCGATTCTGAAGGCTAGACATCTTCTCATTAATAATAACAAGGTTAATTTAAGAAAAAAAAGGATTTTATTGAAATGGGCAAGCTATAGTAGTAGGTTTTGGATACCTCTTGTATATTCTGTTCATGTTAATAAATGGTACATAAAAATGACTAACTAATGTTCTGTGAAAATTCCTGAAAATGAGATCGAGACTATTGTTGCATATGACCAAAGACTATATTTTATTACCTAGATCTTCTACACTGTTCATACGTTGTGGATGACGTGCGCCATTTTGAGGAATTTTCTTCTTGCATAACATATGTTGTCGTCTTGTTGTTACAGTCGACGATGATTGTTTTATTGGTTTAGATTTATTCGGTGTTGAAGTTGAATTTTGTTCAGCAGGTTCGGATTTTATCGAAATATTCAATGGCAATGTGAAATCCATCATTGATGATGATGATGCAGATGGCGACGACGACGACGACGACGACGACGATGATAATGAAGATGCATATATAGGAGATATATTTGTGTCACGTTTATTTTTATGTGTTGATTCATTTGAATAATTCTCTAATGATAAATTAAGTAATGGTGGGGATGGTAATGATTGCCATGAAAGACTTGATCGTGCGTACATTTGAAGGTTACAACGTTGTTTACGATGCAATTGTTGATGATAATGAGGAGGTGATACTGACGATAGATTTTCGGTATTTATTTGTTCAGATTTCTTTTTATATTCTTTGTATAAATCAGTTTGTTTTAACCACGATGGTGGATTATCTGTTATGTATGAATAAAATGAGTTAATAATTAGAATGAGGAATGCTCTTTGTTTTTATAGACCTTTATAGATAACAAATGACATGAGTTCATGTACACTACCAATTGTTGATAAAAATGCATTATTGTTTACCGATGAACGTTTTGGACGTCGACGATGATTAGGCGATCTATTTATTAACGAAAAATATATAATTAGGTGTGTAGAGTTTTTGATTTTTTCGTACAAATTTCCATTCGTTTTATCTACTGTTGGTGAAGATTTGTTTGTCTGAAAGAAAAAGAGAAGTAAAAGAATTTTGGACTGGATTCTTCGATTTAATTTACTTCTAATTTATTATCTACATCAATTTCAATTTTAATAGATGGAATACCATTAATTTTTTTCTTCGACACAATCTAGGAAATGAGAAAAAAAAATTCGTTTCTCCTACAGGAAAATTAACTATTGAATAAACTTACGGATAGGTTCGAAGTCCACTTTGATTTACGTATAGATCGATTTCCATGATTGAATTCAGTTGGTTCTGATAGTTTATTATGCATAAGTTATACTAGAGGAAGACAAACATATTGCTGCTTTACTATTAATAGTAAGTAATTCGTGACAAGCGCTATTTCTTTTCTTTTTCCTTTTCTACTTATTATTCTGCATCATGTTCATTCATCATTCAAAGAACGCGAGCTGTCACTATTGTGCTTATTCTCTTGTCAAGTTTTCTATCGACGTTCCTGTGCCATTTTTGTTTTGTGCTTTCTACATGTCCTCGATGCTGCTTTTTGCTTCTACTTGTTTCATTCTAAATTTCCTATCAGTTCCATGAATATTTTTACACAAATCGCTACACAATTCTTTATAAATAAAAATACTCTTATTCAATTATTAAAAGCATTAAATTTTCCTGATGAATTTTTAACCGAATTCCGTAACGATCGTATTCACATCGACGAAGATCTAATAAGGCGTAAAATACGTATATTATGTGAAATAAATCAAGATGATTCGTTTCAAGATCTGTATTGTCATGAAGATGGCGTTCAATTCGTGTTTCATATTAATTTTCATGACTATCATTTTATACGTTTTCGCATTAGTTTCGATATTAAAGTAATCGCGCTTATATTTAATAATCAACATCAAACGATACAATTTATGATTAATAATATACAAATAAAATCATTAAATCGTCTATCAAAAGCATTTCAATTTTGTATTCAGGTAAATAATTAAATTTCCATGTTACTTTTAGAACGATCTCCGCTGAAAGAAAATGCACAAACAAAATAACGTACGAATGGCAAACAGAATAAAAAGTCGAGAATGTCAATTAGGTTTTAGAAGAAGAAAAAAAACTATATTTCCATCGACTCCGAAAACAACTAGGAGGATTTAATACAAAAGTTGACTATTTTTATTTGCAATGAATAATAAATATCTATACGACGTGAATCCATTAGGAAAATATCATATCTAGGATTAAGATTTAGCTTAATGTTTCCTACTGAACTATGTATTATAGATCCCAATCGAACTAATTAATAAAAAAACTCGTCTATTTATATTTCTTTACTTTAGTCTAAAGTTAGAACATTGGTTATTGATGAAATTGAGCGTATGTGTAAAGAACAAAAGATCCCCTATGAACGATTATTTCGTGATATCAAACGTCCATTGATTTATGAGATAAATCTATCGAAAATAAAAGAATTCGATCAATTACGTGAACGATATTTAATTATTGGTAATCGGTCTATTCTGGATTTTATACAAATAACATATGTTGAACACCGCGAGCAAGCCATTGTGTTAGGCTATCGTTTAAATACAACATTCAGCGAAGAATCAACAACGCCACTTATTCATTGTTAAAATGAGAAAATAAAAAGAAAACCAATCGCATAAATCTTACTTATTGACTATATTGATGTAGATGTCAAGGGTAAATTTTTTTGTCGTGTCGGAATGAAAAGAATGAAGTGGAGAAAGATATTTTGAATGGTATAATTCATACAGCAAATCGCGTTGAACAATTGAACAAGATGTCGCTATTGTTTGATAATGTTATATCGTACGGGTAATTTTTATTAGCTGGCTTTTTTTTATGTACGCGATTCTGGTTTAGTCGTATGATATGAGTTTTATTGTTTCAATGAAATCGATATAATTATTATTTTGGAATTTCTCATTGATTTGCTTAAACTTATTCTGAGTACAGAAAAATAAAGCAATTGATTAATATTGGCCAAAGGCAAAGAATTACTCAAGTTATTCAATCTAAAACTAATTCGTAAATAGGGTATTATTTTCCGTATCATTCAAAATCGATCTGTCTTTTTGTTTTGCTGTCCTTTAGGCTATTTTCATAGCTATAGACTTTATTAAAAACCGTCTCTCAATTACCATTTGATGTTCTTTTCATTGAAATCACTCGCTCTATTTATGACGCTGCTGATGTACTTGATTATATAAAAGTTATTAATAATTCTATGGAAAATGTCATTTTCGCATTTCTATAAAGATTTTTTTTAATATTTATATGATATATTCGATTGAATTAATGTGGAATAATGACTATTATAAGTAGTGTTCTTGATCCCGGTGCATCAGATTATTTTGGATATGTTTGAATTTCATGAACAAATAGGTGATGTCCGTAATGAAGTCAAGACTTCGAATTGAAAATAATAATTTCATTAGAATTGCGATATTTTTTTGTTTTTTGTTTTTTGTAACATTGTTTATTATTTGATTAATAAAAGATTGTTTTTTTGCAAATTAATTTTTTTATCAAATAATTCTGACTGGCTATTTTCTATGTTAATCTTTACACAACCTATGCAATCTAGAACTCGGTAGGTTATTTATGATATGCGTATATATCATTAAAGATTTATTGTTTAATATTTTTCTTGATGAATATAATATTACTCCAAGTTTTTTCGCAGAATAAATAAGCTTGAACTATCTAACTTTCTATTAAAGATAAAATATCATCTCAAAGATAACAAAGATAGTTGTTGGAATTCAAATAAAAATGCAATTGGCTGATTTGTTTCCTCTATGATCAATTTGCATTATGAAAATAACCTCTGATGAGCGTACAATAAGAAAAAGAATCACAGAACAGATGCAAATCGTCGTCGACAAACACTTTTGTGTTGTCATTATCCACATAAAAGAAACAACAACGAAATAAAGATAAAAGAAAGTTCACGTGGTTCATAAATATTTAGATTCAAGTCAAACTATTTACGCATATATTTAATAGAAGAAAGATTTATACATTATCATATTACATAGACGTACATATCAATAATGAATAACATGGTCGATTGGCGTGTTGTATTAAAAGATTATGTTCTAAAGAATGCTCGTCAAAATGATATTCAAAATGTAATTGATACTATTGATAAATTTTGTTGGACTGAACATGAACTAATGAATATTGGTGATCGGAAAGGGAAAATACTTGATCAAGCTATTCAAGTCAAACAACCAAAAACTGTTCTTGAACTTGGTAAAATTTCTATTTTTTTACAATATAAATAAAATTTCATGTATTTACAATCATCTCTAGGTACTTTTCTTGGTTATAGTTCTTTAAGAATTCTTTCTCAATTACCCGATAATGCAGTATTCATTACACTTGAAGCCAATTCTCAATCCGCCGAAATAGCTCGTTCTATACATACATATGCCGGCGCAGCAGATCGAATAAAAATTGTCAATGATCTTTCGCAAAATGTTATTCCACATTTAAGCGAACAGTGTCATATTGATACGCTGGATTTTATATTTTTTGATCACGAGAAAAATATTTATTTACGTGATTTAAAAATGCTTGAAGATGCCGGATTAATCAAAAACGGAACTGTGCTACTTGCAGATAATGTGATTTTTCCGGGTGCACCAGATTATTTAGAATATATTCGAAATAATCCAAATTATACAACAACATTTCACGAAGCAAAACTAGAATATCGAGAAGATATTCGTGATGGTATTGAAATATCGATTCGTAAATGAGAAAAAACAAACCCTTCTTGTTTATTACAAAATCTTATATATACGCATATATTTATTTGTGCATTAATGCAATGAGACTCCTAGAAATAAATTTATTCATAATAATTATCATGTTATTGCGAACGTATAGTTATAATTTGTAGCTAATCGGAAATACTAAGAATGATGTAAACAATTATGTTTGTGCTGCTATTTCTTTTCTCCCCATACATATATAAAAGTATCTGATTAAGCATAAAATTCAGACAGAAAATATTTCAAGAGTCATACGAGTAGTTTAGTTGCTTCCTACAACAACAACAACAACAACAACAACAACAAAATCATAATAAAATCAGCAAGATCAAGTCTTATCTTTTTGGTTTTGCAGAGATTTAATTATATGTCGATAATAATCAGTAATCTTCGTAATCAAAATGAAGATGACTTATCATTAGATCAATGAAAATTGGATAAACTGTCGAAGACTATTAAATAAAGGAAGATGATGATGATGACAAACAAGAAATCTTGTAAATGCGTACAAAAACTAAGATTAGTTAGCAAGTCAAAGATAGTTCAACTATTGAAAGCAAAACAAACGCATCGTCGTTTTTTATGCTGTTAATAAATCAACTGTCAAATAATAATCATGATTATATAAAAGGCTTCTTGCTTTTATCAAAAATTCTAAAAACACATTCGCATTTATCAGTCGGATTTTGCGTAGTGGAATGATTTTTTTATGTCGAACATTTCTGATTGTCTCTTATAAAAAACACACAATGAATATGAATCAATTTTACATTAGTAAAATGTCATTAACGGCTTGTTCTAAATGGAAAAACAGTGCCCTGGAAAATTAGAAAACAATCTTAGCGCTATACACAACGAAAGCTGCCTTCGAATTACACGCACAGAGTCATCCAATCTCGTGTATTTCCCTGTAGAATTCTGCATCATAATAATTTTTCTAGGCTTGATCTTTCATTACAATTTTCACGTTATTAATTAAAAATGAATACTCGCATTTCTTTTTTTCTACTTTCATAATTATAAAATATGAGATTTCTAATCATAGGCGTATGATTGAATGAGACATCACACCGTAATAAATCGAACATCTCGTATTGTTTAAAAAAAGCGGTCATCGTTTGAATCCCAAAAAAAGATTGTGTCATACAGGATGTTCTAAATGTGATTCAAAGCTTTATTTCATATAAATCCACTTCGAACTATTATTTCATTTCTATTAAGAACACCATTGTGACTTTTCAAAAGTGGACACTATAGAATATTCGTTTCAACATATGCTACAAGACATATCCTGATTGTACTCTTTTTGATACATATAAACATGTATCGGTCTAATCTTACACTAATAATAGGATCTTCAAAAAACAGGTATTCACTGCCTATAATCAGACGATATTCACATTACAGAAAAGCTTTTGTAATAAAAATAGTCCCATCGGACCCAAGACCGTTCTTAGTAAGGAACGAATCACTAGTGATGCTTGAAATAATCCAAAATTACATTAGAAAAAAAATACATTAAACACCAGATTAGTATTGAGATGATATTTCTAATGAATTGAAAATATCGATTAACACATTTAGGAACAATTGATAAAAATTTTTTGTTTTCTTACCAATTTCTCCGCTTTGACAGCTACTTAGTATTGTTTTCTTTTAGACATTAATCAATTGATTGATGCATACAATATAAAACTGTCGCATCTCAATCGTCTCCTGTCAATTCATTCTGAACGTCCATTATTGATGTTCTCATATAAGATGAGTTATTAAATATACTTTGCTCATTTGTTTATAATATGATTTCAACATTTCTATCGAACTCCTAGTCTATCGAATGTAATCTAGTGATGAAGAGCTCTACAACAATTTCATTTTCTTTAAAATGATATATTACTGTTGGCAAAAAAGACTTGTCTGAATTTTAGTCTATTCTCTGTCCATGAAATAGGTTCATTATCAAAAAACAATTCATGAGAAAAATTCTTGACGATTCTCTAGACTCATTTTAAGTATGAGATATTAACGGGCGTTTTAAATGACTATAATTATAGAAATTCCGTTAATAACAAAACATCTATCTGTATATTAAAGAAGTCATGACTGTCACAGTTGAATGCTTTTAGTGACCTATATAATAAATCTACGAGGTTTGTCTATACGTGCATCGATACATAAAAGATTAAAAATGTTCGTGACACGACATGATACTTACCACATGCCTATTGTGTTATCGACTATTTTTCTTTCAATATTGTTCAATAGCCAATATTTATCGTGCAATAGTGAAAGAATATAGAAAACGAACGGCAATCACTTTCGTTCTTATTCATCATTTGATCTACTTAAAAAAGTCATGGCGAGTGTCGATCAAATACCTATACTACCTGAAACTCAAACTATTGAACCAATTGTTCAATGTGGTGTCCTTTATTTGGGTACGGCACCATCTAGTGCTGGTCTTGGCGGTCTTGATGCAGTTCAAGAACCATTTTCATATCGATATCCTGTCGATGGGACGAATACAGTTCGAGGTAATTCAATGAATATCTCATCTATTAAGAGAATACAGCTATATTTATTATAAAAATAAAAGGTATTGATGCAGTAATATCCGTTTATGATAATGGTATTCAATTAGCATTTACCCGGCAACCACATGCAGCCATATTTTTTCCAATAACTTCTCTTATCTATTGTGCAAGTCTTCGTTTTTCTGTCATTGAAAATGGTCAAGCAAAATCGATACCAATGATTGATTGGCGTTTTACGCCTTTAGATTCATTAGTAGAAAATAATAGTCGACATCCACCACTATTCAGTCTAATTGTAAGACGTACACAACTGTTACCAGGCGATGAATGCCATTGTTTTATAACTAAAAGTGGTGATTCAGCATTTTCACTTATTCAAGCAGTATCACGAGTCTATGCAAATATTAATCCGGGAACTCAATGTTTAAAATCACCTATTTTTTATCAGGTTAAACTTCATTATATCTCTTTTTCCTTGAAATTGATTTTTACTCTTTGGATATTTTTAGTTAGATCGTTTCGGACGAAAATTAACTGAAACCAATGGTGCTATTTACATATCGCCGGCTAATGATGACGATTCACAATTGGATCGACCTGGTTCAAATCGATTAACAGATGAGTCTATTGGGCAACGTTATCTATGTAATCCAAAACTTGGCGGATATTTTTATCGTACAGATGCAAGTATTATTGAATCATGGCAATTGTGGGGTGATGATAATTCAACTGAAACTCGACCGCGTCCACCTGCATCACCTTTTGGATTACATGAAGGTCTTTATCATGATGATACAACCCATGAGATTCAAACATATTTACGCCACATGGAAGATGAAGACAAATCTTCGTCATATACGTGTTCAAGTAAAAGCTGCAGTTCCCTTAGTTCATCATCAACGCAACATTCTTGTAAACGTAGTCAACGCCGTTCTTATAAACAAAAATCATTTGATGATACTGATCAATTCGAGGAGTCATTGTCGAATGCACAAGCAAGTTCATTTGAACCAATTTCAACATCGAAAAATAGTCACGTAAGAGAAAAAAGAAAAGCGCCCATTGTTATTGAAAAAGTCGTACCGACTGTACCGACATCAATACCAATCCTTAATCCAATTTTACCACAGCAACCATTGGATATTTCAAACTGTGAACAAGAATCAACTGCAGGATCTCTTTCAAAATTGGATGTTCCTTCTTTTTCATATCGAATCAATGAACATGGCGAAAAAATAACTAAAGAAGGTAATCGTATTGTATTTATGGATGTCATCCGGCCGAATACGAATAACAATACAATTGATCCACAATCCGATAGACCATCGAAATTTCGTTCTCGTTCACGACGACAATGGCAACCAAAACATATACCTGTCATTGATATTCAAAGTGTTCAACGATTTATTGATGAAAACAATTCTAAAAATCAACGACAAACAAGTGCAAGTATTATTAATGATAAATCAGTAGACCGTGCGAATGATACAACTCCTCGCCTAAAAACAACGGATATGACGGAAATCATCGATGAATATTTTAAAGATTATAATGGGCATAAAACAAAGTTAAGTAATCATGAAACTCAATCAATAGATGACCGTGTCAAATCACCAAATACGCAAAAACCTCGACGGACAGCTAGTATTATTTCATCAACACATAGCTCTGCAAATGGTAGTCTTCATCGTCGTAGTCAGTCGACAGTAAATGCTGGTGTGAAAGTTAATTATGTTAGACGTAGTACAACTTCGTCTACATCTTCAATAGTTAAACCCATAGTCCCCGTCTTTAGTGATGAAAAACTTGATGAATATATATCAAATATTTACGGAACAAATCGATCAATTACATCGAAAACATCATCAAAAAATCGTGAAGAAAGTAAATCATCGAATATTCCTACGACTCTAAATCCAACATATATACCCGCATTTCGATATATGCAAAGTAGTGTTAATTCAAATTTATTTCGGGAATATTATAACGCATATTAATTAAACTTTCAAGAAAAAACAAGATAAACATTAAAAAAAGACCACAGAACTAAATATTCTTATTTGGCGCATATCTTCTGGTTTTTCTATAAAAGAATTTGTTTTAAACAAATAAATAAATAAGATAGGAGTTGTTTTTAACAATAAATTCACTAAACAAACGAGAAATCGTATAATAGATTATCGTGAAATTTAAAAATAGAATAATTCATTTTGATGATGTTATTTCGTTTTCTTCTGTTACCGATAAGTTAAATAAAAAATTTCCTGGTAACACATGATGATGAACTTTATCAGAGATTGTATAAATACGATCTGTCGATATTGTTGCCTCGGAAGATAACCTTCGATGGCGAGAATGCTTCTCTGGTCTAGCTCGTATTGTGTCTATCGTTGTCCGTAAATATTCGTTCGTGTTTTGAGATGAATCTGTTCTTTTAAAAAGTTTTTGTTGTGTTGAAATACGATGTCGAAATGCAACAGCACGTGCCCATTGTCGCATCCATGATGCATTTGGTTTATCAATGCGACGATGAAATAAACTCAAAAGACGATCTCGCTTTTGTTTTAAAGATGTTGTCGAAAGACCACTGGACGATCGAGCGCGCGGTTTATCATCGTGCTGATGTTGTCTACGATATCTCGCTTGTACCCATTGAACGACAAGGCCAAGAATAAAAAACATGACTATGCCACTGGCCAATGCAACAAGTAACGGCATTGAATTTGCTTTTAACGGTTCAGGCGATAGCTTGCCTGTACGTATAGGCGCACAACCATCACGTGGTTGATAAATAAATCTTGTCGAATTCATATAAAGTTCAATGCAGACTTCATATACACCTGAGTTAAGATTAAATATACGTAAGCTGTTATTATAATCAATAAGTTCTGTAAAATTAGTCAATATTTGAATGATTTCATTCGATTGTACGACACCATCAGTCGTTCGTAGAATAAATCGATAGGCATCGAAAATATCACTTAGACGTTTTTCAATAGTAAACCAAATAAGAGTCAATGGACTCCGTAGATCATAAAAATAACATATCTGTAAATGATGAGTAGAATTTGTTCGGCCATGAGAACCAAAACAAGTTTCTTGACTATTTTTCATTCTATTTGTTCGAACTGTTTGACAGTCGATTGGCCATAGAACAAGACTGAACGAAATAGGCACTAGATATTTGATCATGTATGTCTTTGTATTTTTCATCAAGTGTAAGATTAGAGTATATTTATTCATAAAAGGTTAACGAGTTGAAGATTGATAAATTATTTTTCTTTCTTGTTGACATTTGAATCATGACTAGTTGCATTACAAAAAAAGGACAATGAATATCGAATATTTGAAGAAAAACGAGCAAATTGAAATGTCATACAAAAAAAGAAGAGATGCACTTTTTATCCTTGATTTAAGTATGTCTTAAGAAATAAAAACAATCATTCGCAAACACTGATCTCTTTTGTAAATATGATCGTTGCATTGAAATAAAGAAAATAGTTTTACATAACTAATGGTTGAATCTCAAATTAAAATCATGCATAAAATCCAAATGTTAAGAGGTCATTTTTGATTAGCTACTCGATTTTTAGGTGTGCCGTAGAAAGACCGAAAGGAAAAATGTCGAAAGGGAAAAATATCGAAAGGAAAAATATAGAAAATGACCAAAGGAAAAATGTCGAAGGAAAAATATCGAAAGAAAAAATATCGAAAGGGAAAAATGTCGAAAATTTGCATTAAGATTCAACACGAAAAACGACTTCTTTTCTTAAAGTTTTGCGTTTAAACACGAAAAGAGCGCTGTTTTTTTAAAACTTTGCATTAAAACGCATATTTTCTCGAGTTTTTTTTTCATGGGTGGAACTATTTAATTGTTCATCGATTCCTCGTTAATCTTTCCTAATCATTTTCTTCACAGATTCTTATTTAGTTCGATCGCCACCTATGAAAATGCTGGTAGAGACTCATTTCTAGGATGCCCCTTATCACTTTCCATAAAAATATTAATTCTCATTGTCGGATTAATTAATTCAACCTTAACTTGTTGATCGATCACCTAGACATGAGCGGGACCAATGATTTTTGGTCCCGGTCCTGGTCAAAATAAAAAACAATGGCTGCGGGCCCTGTCCGGTGGAACCGGGACCATTTTTTTCATGTCTACAACCACTACTTAATTATTAGATTGCGGTTTGTCAAAAGAAAAAAAAAGTTGCTGACAAAACTAGTCGATATCTGATGCTTATATTGCTATGCTGTTTTCGTTTCACGAATTATCGAATACAAATTAATAGAGGAAGAAGAGAAAAATTGAATATTCATTACAATACGTCTATGCTGCTCACCTTTTTTTTTCTTTTTCTTCTATCATCCGCTACACTAGTTGAAATACATTGTCATCTTATCTGACTGATTGTCTTATAGTCATATATTAAAGACGCTTGAACATATATATATATATATATATATATCAATCGATTAGTGAGTCATTTTTATCGTGTGTGAGTAAATTGTTCGCTCAACAGTTAGTACTAAGACAACCTCGTATTCATATTGACATGGCAGAAAAAGACGTAAATATACATAGAGAAAAATATTCTTCGTTTTCTATTTTTTTTCCATTAAATTACTCATCTAATTTTACATTTTAGGATGATGCTAAACAAGAAAAGATCGCAAAATATGTAGAACTATCTAATGCTGTGAAAAATGGATTTATAACGTTACAACAATATGAGACTGAAATAGTCAAACTTGTACAACAGCAGTTGATATGAATTGTTCTTTTTTTTTATAAATCTTTTGAAACCATTTGGTCATAAGAAAAATAAACTAAGATTTTCTTCATCTTCCCATACTGGATAATGATTGAAAATAATGACTTTCAATAATTTTATACTATTGATACCATTCGCTGTAACTCGAATTATTTTCGAGAAAAATTAGCTTATTCATATTGGAAAAAACCTATAGCTGGTGTTACTGAATTATCTGTTGATATACGTTGTTTTTCATATCGAACAATATTTTAAGGCAAAATATGAGTCCACGTTCAGCGATCCCATTTTGGACAAATTTGAATGACAAAAATTTTGTTCAATTCAGCAAAAAAAATTACGAAATAATATTCTCATTTTTGTTTGTATTAAAAAAATATGAGATTTGACTATTTTTTGTTTTGTTATCACTGAAAGATAATTCATTTTCATTTAATCCTACAGTAGTGTTATCAATGAAGCAGTTCATCCTCCTCGACTTTGCACAATGATTTCTAGAGAAATTTTTCATAAACAAGTGAAAAAATCTTGTGAATTTCTGGAAATACTATATTTTCAACAAATATGATATGAAACAATCTTCATTTTGTCGCATACGAAAATAACTTGGCAAAACTCCACACTACGATATAGAGAATGAGCCAAAAGTAAGGAAATACTGGATTCTTTTTCAGGTTTTTCCAATGGGGAGCAAACTGGTTTCAAATGATATCAAAATCGATTGAAATCAGTATGAAATCAACGAAATCAGTTTGTTCCCTCTTGGGTTTTTCTATAAAAGTAGATAATCAGATGGGATATTTGGAATACAATTATCATTTGATCAAACTCGAAGAATCAATGGATTGTTAATCTTTTTAGAGTTACCAGTTCGTAAAAAAAATGCAAATCTCTTTCATGTACTCTTACATGAGTGGCATAAAGATTGCGTTTTCTAATCGAAGTCAATTCATTTTTTTTCTACCGAATGACATTTTTAGATAGTTTTGTATGCAATACGTCTTGAGAAGCAATACAAATCACTAAAATTTCAATCATCGTATATATTGTGATGTATACTATACAAATGACACAACTACAATGGGAGGAAAGCTACAAACATGCAAGATAATCAATGTAGAGAACACAAGAGACATTTTTTCAAAATATTTCAGCCATATTCACAATTAATGGCAAATGAGATGCTCTTTATTTGAGTAGAGTCGTGTAGCATATAGTGTCATCTAATCACGAGATCGAACTATTGATTTAAAACACTGAAGTGAATGTCATGTTTTCACATCTTTGATCAACCTAGTATTGAAGCTTTGCATACATCATAAATAAAGTATAAGACTACTTAAGCAATGTCCTATATCTTTATCATTCACTTTCATTTCTTATTATTTGAAGAAAAAATTCAAAAACACTTAAACAGTGATTACTATATGATTAAAAATGCCTTTTATAGATGGCATATTTTCTCTGGTTTCGAAACGTGTTACATGTGTGAGTTTTAATCTTATATTGTAACAGTAACTGTTTTCTATATTTTCTATTGTGTATAATATATTATTTCGAACATTTTTTAAACAGAGCAAATGAATTTACTTTCATTAAAAGTATCTGATTAAGCATAAAATTCAGACAGAAAATATTTCAAGAGTCATACGAGTAGTTTAGTTGCTTCCTGCAACAACAACAACAGCAGCAAAATCATAATAAAATAAGCAAGATCAAGTTTTATCTTTTTGGTTTTGCAGAGATTTAATTATATGTCGATAATAATCAGTAATCTTCGTAATCAAAATGAAGATGACTTATCATTAGATCAATGAAAATTGGATAAACTGTCGAAGACTATTAAATAAAGGAAGATGATGATGATGACAAACAAGAAATCTTGTAAATGCGTACAAAAACTAAGATTAGTTAGCAAGTCAAAGATAGTTCAACTATTGAAAGCAAAACAAACGCATCGTCGTTTTTTATGCTGTTAATAAATCAACTGTCAAATAATAATCATGATTATATAAAAGGCTTCTTGCTTTTATCAAAAATTCTAAAAACACATTCGCATTTATCAGTCGGATTTTGCGTAGTGGAATGATTTTTTTATGTCGAACATTTCTGATTGTCTCTTATAAAAAACACACAATGAATATGAATCAATTTTACATTAGTAAAATGTCATTAACGGCTTGTTCTAAATGGAAAAACAGTGCCCTGGAAAATTAGAAAACAATCTTAGCGCTATACACAACGAAAGCTGCCTTCGAATTACACGCACAGAGTCATCCAATCTCGTGTATTTCCCTGTAGAATTCTGCATCATAATAATTTTT